CCACTGCTCAATCACGACAGTTGTCACTGAAAAAAAACCCAAATACTAACAAAATAATCTTTTGCAACATCCTCACTTACCGCTACCCATTCTGCGTAGAGTTTGGTTTCCACGCGTGGCAGCAAGGTGACGGACCTGAGCATGAACTCGTAGATATTAAGCAGAATGTCTTCAAAGGATTTCAGGTCTGGCTCCAATGTGATCTCCCGATCGTCCAGGATCAGAAAAAGCACAAATCCCGAGTGGCCAAAGGTCTGCTGCTCTGAGTCCTGAGACAAGACAGCCGATCAGCAACCGCGGCATGAGTGTGTCGCTAACTGGAGCGAAGTCCTTTTATGTCCTTACAGGATTGGGACAAATGAGCCTGGTGTAGTCACTCATGGAGTCCAAGACCAGGTTCTGCAGCTGGATGGCCATTAGCGTAGCGGCGCAGTTAAAGAAAGACTGCAGCTTGTCCATGTGGCTTTGAGGGGGCACCAGTTTGCGCCGACCCCCGTGGTAGTAAATGTTGTGCACTTCGGGAAGCCATCTACATCAGCAAATAACAGCTAGTGCGACAATTCAAATGCATTTTATATCCGACGTCGACCGAAAAAGAAAGGGCCGCTTTTGCAGAAGTTGTGCGCGGCAACTGAGGAATGAAAATGTAGAAGGAGGTGATAAATATGCAAAATCTCAACTCATCTAGGAAATCGATATTGTGGAATGAGGGGAGGGTGAAAAGTGGGAACCCAAGGTGACCTTTCATGATCTGAAAAATTTGAAGAGGAAATGTCAAGAAATGTGGAAGGTAAATCTGTGAAGAGTCTCTTAAATTGGGAATTTTCATTCTGGAAAGCGGACACAATGGGGGGGTGGGATGGGTTCAAAGGGTTGCAATGTGAAAGGCAATGTTCCTAAAAGCGCATTTAAATTGTCCAAAGACCCTGCTCACAAACTGTTCCAAATGTTCATTGCTAAACAGAGGTTCCAGATTTTGCGGCACTCCTTCAGCATTCTCGCGCAATTTTGACACCAATTGCATTCTCTCGTTTTGATGGTCTTGCTCACTTGTTCTGAAGGGTTCCTCGAACGTTACCAATCTGACCGTTGGCATTTTGCTGAAATGCCGACAACTCCATCGACTCGGTTCTGCTCCGGAGTTCGGCCGTATCGATCAAACGCAAATCTCTGCGGGAAAGTCTCCGTTTTAGGATCAAGTCATCACGAGTGGCATGTTCGGAGAATGCAAACCTGTACGTGGTGTTCCACAGGTTAAGCACCTGCTGCATGGTGGGATTGAAGGAGTGCAGCCAGTTGTTCATCCGCTTGCGCGCAAACACAAAGGAGTCCTTCCATGCTTTGGGCACGCGCACCAACCTGCGATGAATGACGGATGGATTCAGTGGGTCCTTTCAATCAATCACGAGCTCAAAATAGAAGATGAGATGAACGTACTCCAGTCTGTGAAGAGGAAGATCTTTCACAGAGTCCTCGTCCGCTTCCTCCGGATCACAGAACGTGTATTTCACTGCAAGAAGGAAAGATGGATGACATGACGTGGACCGAAATACAGAGCACTGGCTCCAAAATGTTTTGCAATTCAACCCGTCAACGCAAAATTGTCTTGAAACGTTTTGCGTGTTGACAGAATGCACAGCAAAGTCTCAAGGATCCATGCGTGAAAGTGAACAGGAAGTGAGACGTTTTGGTGAGCCGCAGGAGTGAGTCAACACTTACAGATTGCGGTCTTGATGCTGAGCAAGTAGTCCTCCCTGACTTCATCAAGCAGAATGTTGAGCATTTCGTTCTGGCTCTTCAGGTGACCGGGGACCTTTCCCATGATGTTCTTCACCCAAGAGTCTTGGAGAGGGGTGAGATTCTCCAGGTTGATGCCGTTTTGAATGTAATGGTAATATTTCTGCAACACAACATAACAAAATCAGCGCCTGTGAGGACAATATTAGGACAATGGATTTTATTATTGATCAAGTATGTTATGTGTGTGCTCTTAGGCTGGATTTGCACTATATGGTTGGGGTCTTTTTTGTTTTTTGTTGATCTATATGAAGAGAAAATAAACAGTGGAATATAATCATAATAGTAGCTTCAGATCAGAATCGTGCCTCTTCCAAGTGTGGATAAAAAAATCCAATCAATCATGGATATCTGCCAATCCAACTGAGATGGAATGGATGGATCAAAGATAAACGGAGAAACACTCATGGTGTGGCCACCATCGCACTATGACATCAACCCCACTCAGAACCCGTTTTGTACAGTGTGTGTGTGTGTGTGTGTGTGTGTGTGTGTGTGTGTGTGTGCGTGCGCACGCGCATATCACCTTTTCAAAATCACTCTTCGAAGGGTCGTCATCCTCTCCCGGCTGTTGCTGCGCGTGCTGACTAAAAAACAAGAATTTTTGAGTTTGTCACCATCTTCTGACATTTCTACATTTTTAGAAAGAACGTAGCAAACTCAAACAGCAAATAACTGATGATTGGTTCCACAGAGAAAAAATATATATAAATATTTGATTTTACATATCTGCGGTTCGGCACTGGCTGTTTCACAAATTCGAAGTGTTTTTTTGTTTTTGTTGTGTTTCTTTTTTTTTGGTGGGGAAGGTTGACCATCCCGGTCCCTATTCGGTCAGCAGTAACAACAGTCACGACTAACTTGTGACAGAAATGATTTGTACAACGACTTATATAAGCAATTAAAATAACTTACCATATGTACTTCACCAGACTTTTCCGTAGGCTACGGCGTTTTTTAATCGGGAGCATGCGGTCCTGGTTTGAGGGTTTTTGCATGAGATTCGGACATTTTCCGAGACTTGCCATAGAGTCTGCCTCTCCACCCATGGTGTCGACACACGCTACCAAAAATTAAATAAAATTAAAAATTCAATCACATTCACATCCAACCCCGATCTTGTAAACGTTGAACTAACTTTCTCCATCTGAGGCGGCAGGGTCCTGCTTGAGGTTCAGCCACGGTGAAAATGAAGGTCTCGATTCCATCCACATCTCCTTTTGGTAGATCTTTGGAATGTCAAAATAGCACTTTATGCGCTAAGAAGGCCAGGCTGCCGAAAAAGCAGGGAGACCATCCTCAAAATTTTGGAGGGAATGTTTTTTCGGGACCGATAACACCAAAATGGGAAAAGAGAATTTCAAACATACCAGGCCACAAGTGTGAACTTGGGGTGGCATGGCTCCTCACTAATTTTCATCAATTAAAGACCCTGTAAAGTGAATTCAGAGATTTGGTTTTGAGTACATTACATTTTGTTTGGAAAGATTTGCTGAAATCATGCAAAGACTGGGAACTACTGTATGTTGTACTCATCTGTGGCACTATATAGAGTTAAACGTTTTTTTTAACCATTTCAGTTTTGCAAATATTTTGGAGGGTGGCACGGTGATTAGCGTGTCAACCCCACAGTGCAGAGGTACCGGGTTCGATCCCGCTCCGGCCTTCCTGTGTGGAGTTTGCATGCTCTCCCCGTGCCTGCGTAGATTTTCTCGGGGTACTCCGGTTTCCTCCCACATTCCAAAAACATGCATGGCAGGCTGATTGAACACTCTTAAATTGTCCCTACGTGTGATTGTCAGCGTGAATGGTTGTTCATCTCTTTGTGCCCTGCGATTGGCTGGCAACCGGATCAGGGTGTACCACGCCTACTGCCCAAAGACAGCTGGGATGGGCTCCAGCATGCCCCGCGACCCTTGTGAGGATAAATCGGACTTGTATCGGATGGTGCGTCTCATGCAATATACTCAACTGGATTATTTCATCTGAACCACAAAAACATGGCACAATCGTCAAGCAAGAGGAAGTGCATGGTAACAAAGAAGAGGAAAGCAAGCAGTCTAGCACATTCTGCAGGCACGGCCACAGCAAGACAACTTTTTTTTTTTGCCATTTTGAAATCTTATTCTACACTCTCAATATGTTTTTTATTTATATTTGGGTTGTTTATGACACTTATTTTCACTTTCCAGGGGCTTTAACGTCATGATAGCCGCAGCAAAAAAGGAACGTGAACGTCTACAGAAACATTTTGTCAGCCACTTTAAAGAAAGATGCAATGTATTATTTACACTATTACAGCAAGCAATATGTCTTTGGTCACCTAATCTATCTATGACCGTGATGTAGAGTGGCAGTCACAACAATTAAATGGTCTGCCACTAAGGAAACTCAAAACCCCGGTCAAATGCTTACCAGTGTGAAGACAACATGCCCACCGCATCGACATTCAATTAAAAAAGCGTGTTTTAAGAGACAGCCTGGGGGGTTATTTAGCCACGAACAAACGTCTTAATAAGCATACATTACTGACGAATCTGTTTGTTTGAAGTGGAGGATGCATTTATCTCCCCATGAAAACAAACGCGTTACTATGGTAGCCAGTTCAATCAAAACACCGGTCAAAGGCTTACCAGTCTGAAGACAACACATCCACGTTGAAATAAACTATTACATATGTTACATATATATATAAATATGTAAGAAAGTGTTGTACGGTTATATTAAACCAGGTTATTGCTCACTTATTCGAGGAGCACTTGAATGCAATACAAGTCGCCGCAAGGCAAATCTGTGACATTCCATTACACACACGCGAAAGTCAACAAACTACTAAAATGTGGACACATTTAAAATGGCAAAGTATGCGAAAGACACGCGAAATTCGCGGTGACGTGCGTAAAAGACACAATGTCAAAAAGAAACGCTTCAAAAGAGGGAATGAGTGGGGGTATTGAGCGTGCGGTGCGTTCAAATAAATCACGGAAAGGGCGATTGTAAGGCCATTCTGGGGGTTTCTCGTAGCCAAATTCAAAATTGCCAATTTTCAAATAGATGAACACAGGTGTGAAACAAAGGAAACACAAGTTAATTTAGTTTGACTCACGCGTGGTGGTCTCCCTGACGAGAATGGCGGAAAATGCCGAAATTTTGTATTCGTCTTCATCGAAGTCATTACTAGTGGTTGCTATGGTTGCCAATCGTCAACTTTACAGAGACTTAACAAACCTTTTTAATAAACTTCACAGCGACACAAAAGTTACATATATGTTGATATATACAAACAACTACTAACAAAATTTTAAATTACTCTGATGTATGCTTTGTCTTGACGCTGAAGGTTCCAAATTACACTTTTAGGCATGAGCTGGAGTTTCAAGATGGGTACTGTCGGAGTTTGGAATTCAAATTCGGTTTTTAGATTGTAGATTGGATTTTCAAGACAGTGTTGAGGTTTCAAAATGGGATTAGGGTACTATTCGATTCGTCGATGAAGTTGTCAATGTAATGTGGGTGAGGAGTGAGATATACAAATTGCTCTTTTGTGAGCTCTCCATTGTTCTATGAAAAACTCGAAACTTTTCTAAAATGCCACAAGATGGTGCCAAAGTCCTGTCTAATTAAAGGCGGCTTTTTGTGGGGTGAGGTGGAATTAATTGGTGGCGGTTTTTCTGTCTTCATTGCAGCTCGGTCGTCCTTCCTCTGAAACTTTGCTGTATTTTCATCAGACAAGTCAATTTCTAGGCCGGCTTTTTGCATCCTCTGTCCACAAAATAGAGACTGATCAGTCTGTCTGGAATGAGAACGGTGCGGTTGAGGCATTTCACCTCTCCAACGCTGGGGTCTGGTTTGATCTCAAACATCCTGATTATCTGAAAGACAAAGCATAGAATAAAGTTGTACTCATCTTTAACCTCTTAACCACATTGTGTCTATGTATGGATGTATTTACCGCACACAGAAAAAAAACCCTTCAAAGCTTAGTGTGTCAAGACGGATGCGCATGTCTCACTGCAGAAAGTATTTTCATATTTCAAGTGTGCTATCGTTTCCACATGGATTCACAAGTGTCTGGAAAACCCCATGCTCCATGACTTACAGCCAGCCTCAGACTTCAAAGAGTCACGGCTCTGAAGTGGTTATGCACACATTTGCGGGCTACACACAGTCACTTACTTGAAATACGACCAGATACATCTCCAGCTCTGCAATCCTGCGCCCGACGCAGCCTCTCACGCCAAAGCCGAACGGGATGGAGCCGAAAGCGTTAGGCCTCTCACGGCCGTCGCGGAGCCATCGTTCTGGCTTGAAGGTGAACGGCTCCGGGAAGGTTTCCTCATCGTGACTGATGGCGTAGTGGCAAAACGTGAAAACTGTCTGGAGAAATAACATTTGTTGCAATACTATTCCTGGCAGTGGTGCATGAAATTGAAGGACGGATGATAGGCACGAGTGCAGGGTTCTCAAACTAGGGTGCCATGAGCCATAATTTTATAGTTGCTTTTTTTTTTGTAATTGGCAGTAGAACATGAATGAATACCGAATTTAATTCAAATACATTTGGTTAAGTTCCTACCTATCAAAAAAGTCATGTAAATTGAAATACGAAAAAAAAATTTAAGGCATCTTGGGGTACATGCGATAATTCAGTGATGTTTATATTATAATGGGGTTCTTGGATAAATGTGTGGGCTAATAGTTCCCCGGACCCAAAAAGTTTGAGAACCCCTGCACGAGAAGGAGTGTGAGTAAGACCTACATTTTTGGAAAAGTGATATCCACCAACACAGATGCTCTTTTCACTCATGACCCGTGCGTTGAAGGGAATGACTGGATACATCCTGTAAGAAAAAAAATTATAGCAATTAAAACTGTAGGCAATGACCAAGTGGCCCCTCAAATGCTCAAAGTTTAACACCATGCTCTCTAGCCACAGTAGATGGGGAAGGCAAAAAAACAAAAATGCATCAAATTTAGCGGCGCCCATCTGTTTAGATCAGAACACCTGCTTGCAACTCAAACTAATTTGGATGAAATGCCAAGGTGGAGATCACCAAAGTATGAGCATTGGGACCCCTAAAATATGCTTTCACCACGATATAGACACCGACAAAAATTGGTGAGTTTTCAGACATGGCATAAGCAGCATGAAAACCAGAGAGCTGACGAGGGTGGGGAAAAGGAAAAAATAAAAACATTCTAAATAAATCCAAGGACCCGTCCGTACCTCAGCGCTTCCTTGATGACGGCTCTCAAATACGGTAAGTGGGCAAAGTCGCCTGCAGACGGAGTCCCATCTGCTGTTTTCAACCCGGACACTTCTTTATGGAGCTTCTCCTGGATTTGTGGGTGCTGGGACAGCAGGTGCAAAGTCCACGTCAGAGTGTTGGAGATCTACGCCACCCAAAAAAAAAAAAAAAGAGTTGGAATAACATGAAAAGAACATGCGTGGCAAGCTCTTATCTTGAGTGCTGGATTAGAAATGAGAGCACGTGGCGGGAACCCCATTAAATGTTTCAATTAAGGGAGTTTATTTCTGATGTCTGAGCATTTTACCACCTAGTTGAAGTACTGCCAGGTTATTGACATTTTATCATTTGTTTTATTTAAAACTTTGTTTTGGACTTTTTTAGGTATTATTTGTTGTTGTTGTCTTCTTCCATCAACTGCATAGTACTTAAAAAATGTACTACGCTGATTATAACAAAATTTGTAAGCTTATGTAGAGTTTGAGTACAGTAAGTACAAATTAACCGAATGATTCTTTGCGCACCACTGGAGGGAGGTCGCGTGCACTGGTGGCACCACACTTTTTTGAAAAATTACCGTGTCCACTCCGGCTAAGAGAAGCTCAGCTATGCTGCCATACACGTCTTTGGTGTCCATCTCGGCGTTTGACAGCAAGTACGTCAGGTACTCTCCCTCCACATTCTGGTTGCGCTCTATGCGCTGTTGAATGTCCTCCAACTTCTTGTCAATCAGTGGTTTAGCTAAAATAAAGGCAGAGATGCGCACGTTTGTTTTTAATAAACAGAAGCGATGAAGCTTTTCCATGACGAAATCTGAAAAAAAGTTTCCAGGGGATGCAACCAAAAGGGTATACAGCCAAAATGGGTGATTCAAACCAAAATGTCTGACTTCTTTTTCAATTTCAGGCGTGGGTCCCTGAGACTGTGTCGGACGCTCCATACATTCGCACCAGGATACACGTATTTGTGGAAAGTGGACCGTTTTTTTGAGCGGCATGGTGTAACTAGCATGAAAACAAGACTTCTATCTATAAGCAAAGACCAACGTTCGTTGGACACAACGCTGTTCTACATGTCAAGCTATGAGGATGTGTTTCACAAATTACCAAAGCTGAAGATGCCCTCCCATCCATCGATGTAGCGTCCCCAGTAGGGAAGCAGATTCCGGCTCCACTTGGGCAACATCACCACGGCCAGACTGTTGGAAAACATCTTGCCGATGGCGTCAATAAACTGCTGCGTACCTGCCGGAATGTTCTTTTCCAGGGCGCCCAGTCTGGTCTCAAACAATATCGTAGCGATGGCTGATGTGGAACAAGTCAGTGTTTTGTCAGCCTTTATTGAACCAACCACATGATTTCCGTTGAAGTGCTGCTGCTTGTTGTAAAGTTCGCTGCTACCCTTGAGCACTCGCAACTCAAATTTTTACTTGCAACTCAACCAGAAAGCGGCTGAGCTACAGTCGACTTCTCAAAAAGTCCAGTGTACTTTTCTATTTGGACAGGGCTTTGACACCATCTTGTGCCAATATAGGGAGTTACAGAAACAGCACAAAAAATGGAAACCTGGGGAGTTTTTCAGGATCGGTTGTACAGAAAAAAATGAATGGCAAAACCGCAAATAGTTCAGCTACAGGTTTACGCACAGAAAGACAAAACTGGCAAGAACTGCATTTACCTTCAAGTGAAAAACGATAGAACTCATTGGCCAAATCCATCACCAAATCCCCGGTGGGGCTGCAGCGGCGCACATAGATGAGCCTGACCATGAAGTCGGCAACCACGGTGTTGAGAATTCCACAATATCGGGCCGAATCTTTGGGAAGCATCATGCGCTTGTTCAAGACCGTCCTCAGCTTGTACCAGCTCTCCCCTTCTCTTGAAACACAAACAAAATGACAACAACCCTACTGTTAGGTCACAGGTTAAAAAAAAAAAAACATTCCAAAAACCTGTTAGCATGTTAGCCTCACTGAAGAAATTGTCCCTCGTTGTTCATGGCTGTTGGTCTGAATATTGCAGAATAACTTGATCGCATTTGGCCATAATTTTGTCCATATCATTTGCAGGCCTTGTGGCTAAAACTGTGGTCACATGCAAAAAGTGCTGAACTGGTGACGTACGGCTGCAAAGGTGGTCTCATAGCGGCCACCATCAAAGCTAGGAACGCTACTGGTGAGATAACTTTGGACTGGTCAGCAGACAATCGCAGGGCACATATAAACCGCGGACACTTATTAACTAGACCTTATCTGTCCCTTGGTTTTCATTGGTTGTTTTTTTTCCCTTTTATTTCTTTTGGCACCGCTTCTGTCCCTGGATTTACAGAACGGCCTCACATGCCAGGACTTAGCTATTTCTCGGGCACCGAGTGGAACGGGATCACATTGCCGCGCAACGGAAACACGTCCTGTCGTGCGCGCTTACACTGTGAAAGGTCCGTAGCCGAACCCTTTCATGTCACGATAATCCTTCCAAAAGGACATGTCTCCTCTGCAAGGGAACTTTTCGTCGCTCCTCAAGACTTGTTCCAGCAGCTTGGGGCTGGTCAGGGACACGTTCTTCATGCCGTCTCTGTAGATGGACCCGTAGAGCTGCTTCTCGTATAGCTGATGAGCGAATACAAGGATGAAAGACCAATGTCGGGGCATCATCAGCAAAAAGGACATCGAGAGAAACACTAGGTCATGTCTTGTACCATGTAAATATTCCATTCATCAATCGCGGGGTTTGTTGGCCACTCAACTCAGCGAAAAGGGCAGACAGAGCGAATGTTACCTACTTGGGTGTGATTTCAACGCAGCATGCAACACATTGGGCGTCTTCTACCTGAAGCTCATGCGCCCGGCTGTAGAAGCCCTGAAAGACCATCCGGTAGAGCAGCTCCAAAACGCCGACGCGGGGGAGATCCTTCACCGTCGGAGGCTTCTCTAGAGCGCCCCGGTTGGAGGACGTACTTCTCGACCCTCTGCAGACGGTTCGAGCCACGGCAACCGGGCTCCTCTGCAACAGGCGCACAGCAGCCATGATGGGTAGAAAATAGCTTCATGCTCAGGAGTTTCGATTACATCGAAGAGCTCAAAGGGAGGGGCCATCGCACACTTCCAGCCTAGCCAACAAATTGCAGGCATAGTGGAGGTTGTATCTGGAACAAATGCATATTTCAAAACTGTCATTTTTCTGTACTGCTGACAATCATACTGAATTCAAACTAATCTTACAACTTATTGTTCAAAGTAAATGGACGGTGGATGATTTGATATTGCTTTTTAATCAGTCATTCAGCAGAGAGAAAGAAAAAACCCAGACAGGCCTGGTGAAGACTCTCTGTGCTTGCACGAACAACCCAGGCTAAACTTAGCTTGTCCCCGACATCGCCCGCAGTACAATGCTTGCCACTCGGTTGACGCCAGTTTTTATTCAGATGGAGCTTTGAGTGTTTCAGAAAGTCCATTAAAACCATAAAACACTCATTGCTCCCGTTCTCTTTTCCCAACGAAATGAACGCGAATGCCAAAAATACACTTCAGCCTTCATTATTTAAAAAAAAAAAAAAAAGTTTATTTTAATGAGGAAAAATGGCACTCCAAAATGTTGTCCTTTATAAAAACATACCACCCTGACACAATTCAATTGGATTAAAAAGAATACAGTAAAGCCTTTTTTGAAAATGAAAAAAAAAAATCTCCAACCGTCACTCCTTCATTTGGGTGACGTTTTGTATCGATCCCGCAGGGTCCATTTTGTGCAGCAGAAAGTGTCCTTGCACCTGAGCGGCACTGATCTCCGTGCGGGCCGCCAGCGCGGAAGTCGCAAAACGTTGGCCCTCCGAGATGGCCTGATCCGGATAGAAGCGACGAAACATCTGGCTGAGCTGCCAGTGGGTACAATGGCCGATATACTGCTTGAGATCCACGCGGCCGGGCCGGATTAGCGCTGAATCTAACCTGTGCGGGCGCAAAAAGATTGATGCGGTGTAGAATGATCTTTGCAATTGTACATTAAATGTTTTTTTTAAAGTACCTGTCAATGTAGTTTGTGGTCATGAATACAATTCTGGCCTCGGATGAAGCCACTCCGTCCAGAGAGTTCAATAGGCCGCTGAAAGTCAGCCTCCCCATTCCCTGGTAGGCTAAAGGATCTGTTGGGGGGCATTGAGATTTGTGAAATCTTAAATCGAGGAATAGAGGTGCATTAAAAAATAAACTCACTACAATCTTTACAGCAATTCAAAGCCTAGCCTAGATGTCAAGATAGCAGACTTCCTTTTCGATTTCGGCCGTCGGGCTATAGTGTGAGCAGTTATCCAAGTAACTCGGGTAAATTGGCCAACAAGAGCGGGCAATCGAGGACTCGAATGCACCATATCTGCCCCTGTATTAAAAATGTAATCCTGCAAAATATTCCACATTTTTTCATAAATGTACCTATAATATGATTTCTTTTCTCTGGAACAGTAGACAGTTCCAATTTTTTGTATCCTGAATACATGATGCCATTACATGTATTCTGTTACTCCCCTAGGTGAAGGAGAGTTACTGAGTAGATTTTAGGAGAGAGGGACTTACTCTCTGTTGGAAGCAGCTCTCGGCTAACAAAGGCGGCGTCCACGTCCTCCAGCAGAATAATACTTTGCTGCGGGGCCACACTCAGCAGGTGATTGAGACGATCATCTGAGAGCGAGCGGTCACTCAGACTCATCAAACATATGCTGTAGCCCAGCTCGCCGGCCAGAGCCGTGCTGAAATACAAACAGCCGTGTTACAAAAAAAAAAAAAGACCGTCAGCTACAAATAAAAACGTGCAGAAAACTAACATAAAGCTGCTTTTCCCACATCCTGGGGGTCCATACAACAGATAGCCTCTCCTGTACGGGATGCCTGTCAGGAAAATGAATACAAAGTGAACGTCATGTCCATCCAGTTTTGTGTGGATCAGTGAAAGCATTTTTTTTAAATTGGACACTGTATCGTTGATCACTTACCGCGATCCGTGTACCACTTGGGGTTCCCAATAAACTCTTTGACGTCGTCCACGATCCTTTCGGCCACGCCCGCCTCCAGCACCACGGAGCTCAGGGGTCTGCGTCGCCGCGGAAACCCAAACGGCCGCCATTCGGCACCCATGGCCGTGTACATCACCGTACGTCCTTCTTCCTGCTTCAGCGCCAACTCCCTGGCTGAGAAAGCGAAGGGAGCCTCGCTGAACATCGAGCAGATGCAATATGACAGTACGACTCTGGTGTTTACCTTCTTGTAAAATATTGAAGAAGACCTTTCGGTCTCGGCCCAATGCTGTGAATGTGACAGACTCCCACGGGGTGCCCGTGTGCATGTCAATCATCTGTTTCTCTCTGGTCCTCTCAACCCTGATCCACTTGCGGCCGTACCTGCACAATACAACAGAAAACAGGAAGTTACTATGACATGAGGTTTTTTATGAGAATAAAGTCATAGTGTTTCAAAGGAAAAACAATTCTAGTCTTTACAAGAACAAAGACGCAGTTTGTCGGAATGGAAATTCATGCTCTACCGACAATGAAGTCGCAGTTTTCCAGGATTGTCGTAGCATTTAAATTTAATAACGGAACAAAGTGATAATTTAACATGAGTTTCAAAAATACAACGTTATTCTTTTAAAGTTGCGCCTTTTATTCATTTTACAAGTTCAAGTGGATGTTTTTGTATGAACATTTGGAGCCCAAGAATGTGTGAGTGTTGCTGACCAGATGATGTGATTCCCCGGACTGGGATGGAAGTCGAACTGGGTTTGAACGCGTCCGCTTTCGTGTGCCATGTAGGACGTCTCCACGCTCAGGTGTTGGGTTCGAGTGGCGTGCTTGGTGATCCAACTCAGGAGCCAGTGGTAGCTCTTGTCCTTGCTGGGCACCTCCAGGGTGATCATGTAGTGCCTACGGAAAAACACCATCCCCACCTGGGCTCCTTTCCTGGCCAACGCCAAGGCGGTTCCGACGCCCACCAGTCCAAAGCCAGCCCCGAAGTACGGGTTGTCCTTCAGACTGTCCAGAATGTCTGACAGTGGCATGTTGTATTTATGTACACAGTCAGTCTCTCACCACCATTGCTGAAGAATAGCAGAGTCTATGCTTCTTCTTGTCCAGCTATGAGGACAAGTCGGTGATGTTTTCGATTCAATCTTTAAAACCATGATATCACATGTCTTCCACTCATCGGAATCTATTGCTGTAGTGTCACAGCACAAACGGAAGTGACGCATTCTGCTAAATCTGCTCGCTCTTTATTTCTGAGTTATAAACCCATTTGTGAGGCGGATGCTTTATTTTTGTACGCTCTGCATTTTCCAATTAATATGTCTTTCCTGGGCGCCTAAGGGCAAATAAATGATTTTATAAATAAGTAAATAAATAATTTTTGGTGTTTCTTACACAATCTTCCGACTGGTCAACTGCTCCGTACAATTTAGGTTCCGAATTTGTCGAGTTGCTATTTCCGCTTTTAATTCACAGTAATTATTTCTCTTTTTTTTTTTTGAGTCAGACTAAAATTTCTCTATTTTTAAACTCTTTGAATTAAAAATGTTTAATTGATTTTCATGTATCGATGGGTAAAAATGTTAGATTACGCTCAGTATTTCCGGTGTTCGTTACACTATCTTCCGACAGGGTATCTCCGTTATGTTCTACTTGATCTCGAAGCTATTCTAATTAACTCTCGCATGTCATTTAAATTCATTGCGAAACACCATATTTTAATATAATGAGTACATTTAGCGCTGAATGTGGTAACCCTTTTTACAATGCGAAAAAGTAGCAACATTTCGCTGTCCTCAAATCACAAGAAGCTAATACTTAAGCAACGCTAAAGCCGACGTTCGAGTCAAGTTATTGTACAGAGTAAGTAACGTCGCCTAAATATTTTTTACGTTTCGTGTGAGTCGGGTTTCCTGTTATACAACAACTATAGTCCGTTAAAAAAAAAACTATTACGCAGTTGCGACCTACTGCATGAAGCAGCCACAATAATAAAAAAAAAAAGGGTTTTCATCAAACCCCCACCAATTCGTGAGTTCACGTTTCTAGATAACATACGACTGTTAGCCGGGGGGCTCTTCGTGTGTATCCACGTTTTGTGTTGTTTCTGTGACACCCAAAGATGCCGCCCATTCGCCGCCTGAAAAGAGCTCTGCTGCACCACGAGAAGATCAACCTCCTGGATATGCTCGAAGGTGGGAAAAGTTGTGCCGAAGTTGCCCGTCATTATGACTTGAACGAGAGTACAGTCCGGTACATAAAGAAGAAGGAGACGGAAATAAGGATGGCCCATAACGTACGTCACTTGAAACTTTTCATATTGTTTTGTCCCTGTTTTTGCTCATAGCAAAACAACACTTTGTTGATTTGTGTTTCAGGAACTGTTGATGATGACGGGTCTTGGCAAATGTAAAACAAGCGATCAGAATGTTGCAGATGGTGGCCAACCCACTTGGAACTTCTCAGAGAGACGTTTACGCAGCTTCAAAAGTAAGTACAAACTTACAGTTGACATAAAAAGTCTCATAAAGCCTGTTCAAAGTTTTTGTGATATACAAAAAAAAGACAAGATAATTCAGTGAAAAACCTTTCCACCATCCATGTGACGGTACAAATCAGTTGTAAAAAAATGCTCAATATTTTCCAGATGGTATTTTTTTGTTTGTTTGTTTGTTTGTTTGCCCAAAAGGTGGGTGTTGGTTTATGTTCGCCATGTATGACAAAGTTTTAAATTCCTATTGAATGGGTCGTTGTCTTTGCCTTTTTGTTCACAGGTCGTAAATGTACAAATGCAAACCTCCAACCTCAGGACTCCCCCGGAAGGCCCAAAAGAAAAACACAATCAAACCTGGCTTGCGTGTCATCAGCTACATCAGATGGGGATGAAGCAGAAGCAGAAGTGGAAGTCGTCGTAGAAGACGATGAAGGGGAAAACAAGGAAGATGTAGAAGACAACAACGATGAAGAAAACGATGTCGATGACAAAGGTCATATTGTAAAAAAACAGAGAAAACTAGAGGCAAAGGACTCAGTATTGCAAACGAAAGGTATGCTCATGCAGAGGTTCTCAAGGGTTGTTCAAGGAGAGATAAGGCATTTTGTCACCGAAAGTACACTGCGCTCGTAAAAAACACCTCACATTGACATCCAGTATTATCATTGTTGGTAAGAAACAAAGACGATAGGAGAGGCAATGATGTAACTAGTGAGCAATTAAACAAGGATTGTTGAAGCAACTTTTTTTTCTTATTTATTGTTCTTTTTAGAGTGCATTGCAGAGGAAGCAGAGCACATGTATGACACTCACATTTGCCCCGAGTGTCGGCGCTGTTTCAAGATGCGCTCCCATCTCCAAGAACACCTGCATTTGCATTATCCTGACCCAGGTCTGCAGTGTCCCACCTGCGAGCGCTTCTTCACCAGCCGGAGCAAACTGCGCGTGCACCAGCTCCGCGAGGCGGGCGAAAAAGCCCACCATTGTCATTTATGCGACTACTCCGCCGTGGAGCCAAACGCCATCCGCCGCCATCTCATCACCGTCCACGCGGACGAAATGGAAGAGGACGCAACACACCACCGCTATCCGTGTCCCACTTGTGGTCAAAGCTTTGGCCAGAGCGGGACGCTGAAGGCTCACATGAAGACTGAGCACGCCCGAGCACCCAAAACGGCGGTGGCGTGCTTTCACGATGGTTGTCCTTTCCGGAGTCATCTGCGCAGGGCTCACATGCGACACTCGGCGGAGGAGCACGGGATCACGGCGGTAGGGTGTCCCCATCACGCCTGCGTTGCCGTCTTTCCCAGTGAGAACCACATGGAAACTCACTTCAAGACTCACCTCGCTTACCACTGCTCACAGTGTGATTTCTCGTGTTCCAACAAGGCCGCCTTCCTGCGGCATCAACGGCAGGGCCACGCAGGCAGTGAGAAACTCTGCTGCGACTTTTGTGACTTTTCGACATTCAACCCGGTGCAATTCAAACGACACATTGGACACTTGCACGCCAATGAGAAGATCCACCGGTGCTCACAGTGTAGCTACGTGACATCACACAAGAGAGCCTTGAATCGACACATGCTGACGCATAGTGGTGAGGATTGGTGACTTTTTTTTTCTTCTTCCCCCCCAGTAGGGATTTGTGCCTAGTGGCTAACATGTCAGACTGTCAATTGAGGTGTCCCGGGTTCATGTCTCTGCTATCGCCTTCTGGTGTGGAGTTTTCATCTACTCTCTTTGCCTGCGTTGGTTTTCGCTCAATACTCCAGTTTCTTCCCATATTCCAAAATCAGGCACGTTAGCTTCATTGAAGGCTCTAAACTGCCCATTGAATTTGTCTAAATGTGCCCTGCGATTGACTGACAACCACTCCAGGGTGTAAAAAGGAGTTCATCAGTGGCACAAGGGTTTCAGACAGACCAAGTAAATCTACAGACTTAAACACTTAAGAGAATGCATTTTACTTACTAAAGACTGAAGGGTGTAACCTCCCAAAACGAACAACAACCGAAAAAGGCCGTTGTGCGTTTGAAATGTAGCTGCATTGTTTTGGTTGTAGATTGTGGGATCCTTCCTGATGCTGGAGGTGGAGGGCTTTGGACTGGCCAAGTCAATCTCCAGACTTTCACCCTGTAAAAATGAGCGTTATACCTGCTTGGAAGTGTAGACTAACTCTGTGCAGGCAGTGTTGTGTGTTTGAAAGGCCTGTCCTCATTTTCTTTGTCTTTCAAGGTGAGAAGCCCCACAAGTGTCAATTGTGCGACTTCCGGTGCAGAGACGAGTCATACCTCTCCAAGCATATGCTCACACACTCGGACGACAGGAACTTCATATGTGAGGAATGTGGATACGTCACTAAATGGAAGCACTGTCTGAACATCCACATGAGGAAGCATGCAGGAGACCTCAGGTAGCGTCTCGCTGTTGTCGTGTTCTTCTTTCTGTACGCTGCAAGCTAATTAGCTGTACCCTACCAAATACACCTTTTTTTTTTTTTTTTTTTTTTTTTTTTTGTCTTGTGATGCGAGACCAAATTTGAGGTACGAGGAAGGTTCAAATAAGCCACCGCCCGAGTGAAGTGCATGTATGGTCAGGCACTCGGAGGGCACAGAGCTCCACCGAGATGTAGAACCATTATCTCGGATCTCAGTATCCAAAAAGAGTTAACTAGTTATGCAGGCCTCAAATTGTTTTTTGATGAAAGAGGATCCTGACAATTACAATGACGGGCATCCTTCATTCATGAGAAAGTCCTGTTCGACAGCTGATGTGATGTAACTGTAACTTGTATTTCGGTCTGTCATTAACCTACGCTGAATTAGTACCAGGCGGTCATTATAAAAACCATTTGATGAAAAATAGAGTAAAATAGGTTCGGCGCGAACCAAGCGTGCCTTCTTGTGATGCATGATAACGTATTCCTACTTGTCAGCGCAAACATTCATTGCGTGTCAAATGTCACGTCAAAACGTTGCAAGCGAGCACTGCTCTCACCTGAGGACCGCCTGTACACACGAGACACACTCCCGCCCAAAAGAATCATAACAGTGAAGTCAATTCCTTTATTTTTGCATTCTTGCAGGTCATGGTTGTATTAGTGAAGTGTTTTTTTTTTTTTGTTTTTGTTTTTTGCGCTTTATTTTCAAGCCCTAAGATGTCGCCCAAACTTTCTGCACCTTTGGTCTATTTTGGCCCAAAGCTTAAACGCAAGAGGAAGGTCATGCCCCTCTACGAGAAAGTCAAGATCCTCAATTTGCTCCGTGACGGGAAGACATTTTCTGCAGTTGCACGCTGTTATGGATTGAACGAGTCGACGATTCGCTCCATCAAGAAGGAGGAAGCCAACATCCGAAGTACGGTTGCCATTAATGGCTCGCAAACCTTGAAGAGGGTGGTCAATACGCGTAATAAGTACATAGTGAGGATGGAGTCTTCCTTGGTTCGGTGGATAACCGAATGCAGGGAGAAGAACATTCCTTTGAACACCAACGCCATGATGGAGAAGGCCAGACAACTTTACCAGGAACTGGCCGATGGAAGTGCTCATCGTGGCAAAGAAGACAACGGCACCAACCCCCAACCGGGACCGTCGACCTCCTCGGAAGAACCCATCGAATTTCTTGCAAGCAAGGGCTGGTTCGACCGCTTTCGGAAGAGATACCAGCTGAAGAGCGTGTCGCCACATTGGGAATCTGCATCGGCAGACGTGGAAGCGGCCAGGAAGTACCCAGAGACCTTCAAGGCACTCATCGAAGAGAAAGGCTACAAGCCGGAGCAAGTCTTCAATATGAACGAGACTGGCTTGTTCTGGAAGAAGATCCCAACCAGGATGCTTTTGAAGGAGGAAGCCAGAGCCCCTGAGTTCAAAGGGCAGAACGACCGCGTGGTGCTGATTATGTGTTGCAATGCGGCCGGCTTCCTGATGAAACCGGCATTAATCTACAAATCTGCGAACCCTCGGTCCCTGAAGAGCAAGGACAAAAACCTGTTGCCTGTCTTCTGGATGCATAATTCAAAGGTGTCTCTGACGAAACCCCTTGTAGCCGAGTGGTTCCATGAAAGTTTCCTCCCTCAGGCTAAGTCGTACCTATCAGAAAAGGGATTGGACTTCAACATTTGCCTGATGATGGATAACGTGAGCAGCCTCCCACTGAATTTGTCTTACGAGGGTGTGCGGATTGAGATCTTGCCAGCAAACATTCAGCCTTTGGATCAAGGCCTCATTTGGATATTCAAGGCTCTCTACGCGCGAAACGTCATGCAGCAACTCGTCAACGCCAGGGATACCGAAGAGAATGTTTCTGTTGGGGAGCTGTGGAAAAATTTCAACATCGCAACGGCTCTCCAAGTCATTCAAATATGTCTCCAGGAGTTAAAGCCAGGAACTGTGAGCGCGTGTTGGAAGAAGCTGTGGCCGGAATGCGTCCCTGAGGTGGAGGGATCCTCTACGGACGAAGTTCAACGTTTGGCAGTGGATAAGGCAGTCAAGCTGGCAGAGCTGGTGGGCGGGGAAGGTTTCCGCAACATGACCCCCGACGATTTGAATGACCTCCTCGAGACGCACTCTAACCCAATGACTGACGATGACTCGGCGCATCTCCCAAAACAAGCCGGTGAGGAGGCAGAGCAAGAAGCTGATACATCGCAGGAGGAGGACGAAGTTGAAGGCTTGTCGCTTGAAAGGCTGTCCGTGATGGTAAAAACTGCAAAGGACCTCCAGGGGATGGTGGACGCATGGGATCCTAATATGGTTCGGGCGTTGCAATTCAAGAGTGCTATTGACAGTGCAATGCAAACATACAGGACCCTGCTCACCACCATGAAGAAACAGCGCGAGAAATTCACCGTAACTCAAGACAAGCCAACGTCAGCGTCTTCAGAAGAAGCGCCCGACTATCAGGAACTCCTTGCCCTCCTCCCATCCGAAGCGCCTGAGGAAGAGGCATCCTATGAAGAGCTGTAATTGCTCTTGCTCTTCGGTGCAGTACGATACAAATTGTCGTCCTCATTTTCATCGTACTGCACAGCTGATTTGTTCAACAATATTCTCTTCACTCAAGTTTCATTTCTTTACTGGTAAGTGCACTGATTTTAAAATTAGTTATCGGATGTACATACATTAATAATACGTTTACTTTTGTATTTGTATATATTTAAATGTAGTGTACACATAAACCAGGATAGGACATATACAGTACACGTTCTTTTTACGGCTTCTGCTTGGAACTAACCATTCTACACATTGTACTCCCTGTGAGCGTGATCTACACGATTTTTTTTTTTTTTTAGCACAAATTTATGTAGTGTACACATAAACCAGGATAGGACATATACAGTACACGTTCTTTTTAGCGCTTCTGCTTGGAACTAACCATTCTACACATTGTACTCCCTGCGAGCGTGATCTACACGATTTTTTTTTTTTTTTTTTAGCACAAATTTGACCTCTTCGTACTCATACAAATATATTCTTTATCACTTTGTATCAAGAATAGGTTTAAAGAGTATGGAAGGATAATTTCTGGGTTAAACCGTAGGAGGAGGGAGGAATGCATTTTTTTGGGTTGGCGTCGACTTTCTCTTGTCGGGGACTTGTATTTACGTCTGGATCGGATACACAAATTTGAAGCATCTTGTCGTTTGAACCCACCCAAATGAAGTCAGAACTCTACACAAATATTTTGTCTGCCAGTTTGCGGGAAAGATGTAACCAAATTAATTGGGGGATCCTTCATCATGCAGAAAGAGAACCACAAAGGCTGTGCCAAAACAAGATAGGAGTCAAGTCAGTCTTCAGAAGCAAACCCCTACAGAGGATGCATTTTACCTGCTCGAGATACGATTGAAAGGAGTAACCCCCTGCACTGATAGTCTGGGAATTTTTCACCAACGAGTTGTTTGGTGATGTCATTTGGTCACAGACTTAAGGGAGTTATTCTGTGCCAAGGATTTACAGCCAAACATTCAATCGTTTTCACTGTCATGTTGTTCATTTCTATGAATTGATGTCTTTCAAATTGTGTCTCCAATCAAGACGTAAATACCTGCAAATAAATGTTGAACGGATGAGCCCATGTCTCATATTCATCTTTGTTTTCAACTTACAGCAAAAAAATAAGGGAATTGGCCTCACTCTTCCAATACTTTTGGAAGGGAGTGTAAACTGTTTAAACTCCCGAGATGACATACCAAAAACGAAGGAGCCGAATGACATGTGACAAAAGTGAATTAACCTCAAAGTTCATTCCGTGGAGGTAATCAAGTCCATCTACTCTCCTGATCCTTCTCTGAACGACAAGCAGAATATTAGTATAAAATGTACACAGCCTAACGCACCTCATTCTTCTTGTAGGTATGAGTGTGATCAATGCCCTTATCGTTGTCACCGCATGGACCAGCTCAACAGCCACAAACTACGACATCAGGCCAAATTGCTCATGTGCGAGCTCTGTGCCTATGCCTGCAGACGCAAATGTGAGCTTCGTAAGCACATGTTAGTCAAACATTCGGGAGAGGGACAGCAAGCATCTGTGCACCAGTGCAAATACTGCACATACACGACACGTTTCCTGCAAGCCCTTCAAAACCACGAGAACTGTAAACACACCAGACTGAAACAATACCGCTGCGCTCTCTGTCCCTATTCTTCGTACAGTAGCATCAGCCTCTTCCTGCACAAGAGAAAAGCTCATGGTTACGTGCCCGGTGACAAAGTCTGGCTGGAGAATTATGCGGCAAAAGAGAGGGAGAGACCCTCAAACAGCATGCTCGAGGACTCACAGATTGCTCAAGAAATATCCGCCGTGTCCACCAAAGAAGCCATTCTGACAAAGGCGTCTGATTTCAAGGCTACACGAGATCCGTTTGCCGGCCAGGCTGCTGAAGTTCGCTCAACAGCTGTTCCGCTACTGGATGCTGATGATGTCCCGCGAAAGGAGGGGACCACTGAAGGAATATCGCAAAGTCCTCCACCTGATGCCGGTCCAGAATACTGCACTCTTGTTTTAACAACTTTGACCCCCGAATGTGAGACATTTCTGTTGCCAAAGGAGGATGCAAACTGTCACATTATGTCCACGAACACAGATTTGGCTACGACAAACCCAGCAGAAGTTGAGAAAAAGACTGTTCATTATGAGAGTGAAAAATGTTCCTATGAATCTGAGAATGAAACTCCTGAATCACCGCCAGAGAAAAATCTAGTTTTGGAACACGATCGCCTTTCCAATCCAAATGAAGCTCTGGTTCTCGACGGCAGAGTCCAGATGCTGGCAGTGACAACTCAAGATGTTTATCGCTGTGACCAGTGCTCTTATGTCACCAAGAATGGGAAGACTCTTCAGCGCCACCATCGGTCTTTGTGTCGTGGTCGACAGCGGAATCACAAGTGCCTGGCCTGTGGTGCCCAGTTCAAACAGAGACGGGGCCTCGATGGGCACCTTGCCAAGAAGTGCCCACAGACGTTGGTTGGCAAAAGAGCCGCACAAAGAGAAGACAACTGTACTGCCAATCAGGACACTTCTGAAAAACTAAGAGGAGCTCAGGCTCTCTCTCAACAACAGAGGATTTCAGCAGAAGTCGATGATCATGTCTCTGTTCTGAGCGTCTTGACATCCGGTGATCCAGAGCGTTATCTAAGTCAGCATGGAGACGTTTCGGTACGTAGGAACGCAGCACATTCCAGGAAATTCACGTGCAACTTTTGCACCTATTCATCGGTCAAGCTGGCAACGTTTAATCGACACGTTTCCATTTGCCGAAAAAGAGGAAAATGCAGCCGAAGCGTCGGTGTGTCAGGCAAAGAAAAACAACCTATTGAGGAGGGGCCTGAGAAAGATTCTTCCGGTGTGCCTGAAGGCGGACTGGGAAATGCTTTGGCCCTCCAGGAAGAGCCCAAGGTAGTCCAGAGTTCCAGCTGTGCTGTTGAGCCAAAGCATTTACACCAGAACTCTTCCCTCGATCAAGAAGGACACAAGGCACGAAAGCAAACGGGTACTTCATCCCCTCATACTTGCCCTTACTGTCCTTTCGCCACCACCAGGCGCTACCGTTTGGAAGAGCATCGGTCCCTTCACACGGGAAGCGGACGCCACGCCTGCGATGTCTGCGACAAGACATTCGGGGCGGCCAACAAGCTTCGCCAGCACAAGATACGTGTCCACGACAGGCGACCCACTCTGCCGTGCTCGTTTTGTGACTACGGCGGCTACACGGCGGATGACTTGAGGCGGCACACTCGCAGGTGTCACACGGGGGACTTAAATCATGACTGCACCGATTGCGAGGCTCACTTCAGTTCGGAAGCTGCTCTGAGGAACCACCGCATACGAGCGCACCGGCAGCGGGAACATTTCCCCTGCCTGCGGTGCAACTACGCTTGCGGCAGCAAGGCCGCATTGAGGAGCCATCAACACAGCGAGCACCGGGAGTCATTCGGAACCAAAGACAATGTTGAGGCTCATCTTAAAACCCACCTGGCCCACCACTGTCACCTCTGTTCCTTTGCCGGCAAAACCAAGCGGCTCCTTGCACAGCACCTTCTGGATGAGCACGAGGAAGGGTCGCCCTCAGACAAACCACTGCGCTGCGGAAGCTGCGCGTTTGCTTGTCGGCACCCACTGGTGTTGGAACAGCACCTGCGTTCCCATGGAGGCAAGCGCATGTACAAGTGCATGGATTGCAAGTACTCGACGGGCAACAAGCAGAAGATCACCTGGCATGTTCGCATACATACGGGGGAGAAGCCATACAGGTGTGAGCATTGTAGCTATGCCTGCGTCGATCCCTCCAGGCTGAAGGTAAGCTCAAAGTTGGATTGGGTGGAATAAAAATTGCAACGAAAAGGCCAATTTTTCAAGCCCTTCTGTCATGTAAAACCTAGGAAAAAGATTAAGAATAGGATTGAATGTAAAAAAAAACTTTAGAAGCACGATGCAAATGTTCTCAGCTATTTCTCTCCGTATAATTGTGCCTTCCTCAAGCTTCATATGAGGGTCCACCGAGAAGAAAAAAAGTACCTTTGTCCTGACTGCGGCTACAAATGCAAGTGGGCCACTCAGCTGAAGTACCACATGACCAAGCATACAGGTGAGATCCAGAAGTGGCAAAAGTGTTCACACCGAACTTAAATAGAAGTACAGCTACCTGTCTAAAAAATACTTGGGTTACGAGGAAGTAGCAATTCAATATTGAGCTAAAAAAAAAAAAAAAAGTCAAATGGTCTGAGTGGGTTCGGTCAAGACTAAGTTGTCTACCCCGAATAAGACAACCACAATAGTCCAGTGGCTATCGATTCAATGCCCTGAGAATGTGTTTGCTTCCATTATGCTCTCTGCTGCCAGGCTGGTCTGGCAAATGAGAATGTGTTCTCAGTTGTCTTAGCTGGATAAGCAAATGTGAAATACATCCAAAACAAAAGTCTCATTTGGGTGTAGGGGAGAAGCCGTACGGCTGCGACCAGTGCGACTACCGCACCAACCGAGCGGACGCCCTCCGTGCCCACCGGACCACCCGGCACTGCGATGTACGGGCCTTCGTCTGCGAGAAATGCGGCAAAGCCTTCAAGACCAGCTTCATTCTGAAGACCCACCAGCGGCAACACGGTGACCAGCGACCGTACGCCTGCGGCGTGTGCCACAAGGCTTTCCGCTGGCCCGCCGGTCTCAGGCATCACTTCCTGACGCACACCGAGCAGCTGCCGTTTGGCTGTTGTCACTGTTCATATCGGGCCAAGCAAAAGTTTCAGGTGGTCAAACATTTGCAGAGGCACCACCCGGGGATGCCTGTCGAGCAGGGGGTGGTGAGGGACTTGGACACCGGTGGCCTCACCCTGAAGGAGGCCATGCAAGGAACGCTGACCGGTAGGGGAACAGAGGAGGAGCAAGATCAAGAAACGATGAGCAGCGGACAGACTGTGAGTTCAAGTCCATCGAATGTTCATAATTGATGACGTTGCAGTCAAAAAAATTTGACACTTTGGGGTCTACCAATTCATCTTAAAGCTCCTGTCATGTCGTGGGGGGGTATTTAGCCCAGGTTAGAATTTGTAAAACTGAAAGAACAAATATTCTGCTTGGCTAGTTCCCGTCTCCTTTTATAATATACAGCAATCAAGCTAATCACGTCGTCACAAAACGCACGGTGACCAGCGACCGTACGCCTGCGGCGTGTGCCACAAGGCTTTCCGCTGGCCCGCCGGTCTCAGGCATCACTTCCTGACGCACACCGAGCAGCTGCCGTTTGGCTGTTGTCACTGTTCATATCGGGCCAAGCAAAAGTTTCAGGTGGTCAAACATTTGCAGAGGCACCACCCGGGGATGCCTGTCGAGCAGGGGGTGGTGAGGGACTTGGACACCGGTGGCCTCACCCTGAAGGAGGCCATGCAAGGAACGCTGACCGGTAGGGGAACAGAGGAGGAGCAAGATCAAGAAACGATGAGCAGCGGACAGACTGTGAGTTCAAGTCCATCGAATGTTCATAATTGATGACGTTGCAGTCAAAAAAATTTGACACTTTGGGGTCTACCAATTCATCTTAAAGCTCCTGTCATGTCGTGGGGGGGTATTTAGCCCAGGTTAGAATTTGTAAAACTGAAAGAACAAATATTCTGCTTGGCTAGTTCCCGTCTCCTTTTATAATATACAGCAATCAAGCTAATCACGTCGTCACAAAACGGGGGACATATTTTAATACGTAATAAAAAATATAGAGAAGAACTAGGCGAGCAGAGCAATTTGCATTTTTGTTTGTTTGTTTGTTTGTTTTTATAGTAAACACAGGTCCATTTGACCCGCAACAACACAAAAGGGTTGAATATATCCTTAAAAAAAAGTCAGTTGTCACTGAAAAGAATATCTATTTTTACAGTGAATGAATGAGCAGCACATCATCATAAAACCATACTGACATTTATTTTTGATGCATACAATGTTTGCATAGACCAAAATTCTGCACAAGCTGTGTGTGCATAAACTAAATCAAACCCACTCATGCAAGCTTGCAAGTTTATAGGTTAGAAAGTCAGTCTCTTTCTTGATATACTTGTGTGTGTGTGTCTGTGTGTGTGTGTGCGTGTGGGTGGAATGTTTAGTCATAGAATTAATCATGAGGTATAAACAATGTTTGTTGGGATTTTTTTAAACTTCTGACAATTGAACAAGCCCTTTGCGGGGGATTAACCCAGGACCGTTATTGCTGGTCCTGGGAACTGAACGGAAACGGGGCGGTTCAGCCATTCATGTGAATTTCGAGATAGTGATATGAACAAACAGTGATGCGGGAGGGATGGCCGTTCCGTCTTTTGAGAGCAGATGAATGTGACGGTATCCTGCAACAGAAATGAGGCTTTGCGTTAAATGTCATGCTGGGGATTTACCATTTTTTCCAAAGAAATGTCACTCGCTGCTCACCCGGTTGGATGCACGTAAACGGCAGCGTGTACTGTCCGATGAAGTCGTTTTTGGAGGTCTTGTCGTAATCTTCCACCACAAAGCGAATCAAGGCCAGATCGGGAGTGTGGATGACAAAATTCAACGTCTGATTCCACACAGGGTTAAAGCCTGCATGAAGAACAAATGTTTTTTTTTCCCCCTCTTTCATGGTCTGAATAAAAACGAAACCATCCATTCAAACCGCCTATTCATACCATTGTTGTTGATGTGACTGGTCTCCTCCTTAGCCTGGTCCTGTGGCACTCCGTACACCTCGACTCGGACCAAGGGGTCTACAATAGAGGCCTCTTTCTGGTTCACCTTTGGTAGCTGCTGCCCACTTATCACCTGAATGACAATGCAGTTCATAAAAATTCAAATCGTTGAGTATTAATTTTGAACTACAGTACAGGAAATGCCGGCAAATGGAATGGTAATTTGATATTTACTGTCATTACCACTTAAGTACTGTAGTAGCGTCACTGAGTTTCATGTGCAAATTCCGATTACGCCATTGTAGGAACGCGATAATGTTGTCAATGGAGGACCTCTCGTAATTAAAGAGAGTCAGTGGTCGAGGTGCTTCTGTTTTTGGTCGTTTGAGAAGATGCGTTCACCTGGATGGAGAAGCGCATGGGTTTGTAGCCCGGCTGCTCTTGGGGTTTCTCCGGGTTGAACGTTGTGTGGTTGTCTCTCAAGAAGTTGGGCTTGAGTACGTAACCGGAGCGATGGTTCTGTGCGAACAACCCGTCGTTGAGATCCATCTCCAGACCCGCTGTCTGGAAGTTTAGGGCCACTTGGAGGAAAGAGTCAAATTTGATGTCATTCAAGGAATTCGTCCACCCGGTTTGGATGAGCGCAATTGGAACCGAAGATTTGCTCCTCACCTATCTGGCACCCCACATTCCACAATTCCTGAGGGTTGTAGTTTGAGGAGTCGGTCCTGAGGCCACTCGGGTAAATCCTGCTTAGCTGCTTGACATTATGCCGCACAAAGTCTGCTCCTGTAGAAAAGTGTAGCGCACATTGATTGAGTGTACACGTTGACTTCGGTTTCACGACTGATTCATGGTCTTCTCTTACCTGCTTCCTTAGCGAGCCTCTTGGCCTTGGACTCGGCAAATGAGGACATCTCGTTGTATTTGGCGTGTAAAGGGCTGCTTTTAAAGCCGCGGAAGTGGACACTTTTGCAGTAAACCACCAGATCGGATAGCTCGCGCGAGAGTTTGGACTTCTCGTGTTGGTTCAAACTCTCGGCGTGTAGCGCTTCACCGTTGGCCATCTCCTCCTCGTCGCTATTGTCGTCTGTCAGCGTTCCGTCCGGGGACCCCTCCGCGCCGCCAATTTTCTTGGCTTTCAGCAAAACCTTTCCTTTAAGCTCCTTCATGTGTTGACAGGACATTACCATTAGTGCAGGACAGGTGAAAAGATTTGAGTGCTCTCTTGAGGACACTTTGTGCACTGCAGATGCTAATTCATGATGACTCTTTAAATTATCAAACTTGGGTGCCGCTCTCCAGCGATTTCCTGATAAGCTTCAAATTTTAGCATCACCCCTCTGTCAAGGAGACTTGCTTTTCATTCGGTGGGGTGAATTCCCTTGTCGGAGTTTATCAAAAATAAGAGCCATGGAAAATGAACGCTTTGAAGCAAATTCTCTGACTTCCTGATTCCATTTCTTTGAGACTCTTGTCATCCATCCGGTAATGCTACATGTCCATTCAGTTACGTGTTGATCGGTCAAACTGATTGCATGGGGCCGCTGATATATTTCTTACTTCAACTAAGTACGAGGCCTGGAATCTGCCCAAAATGGCCGACATCTTGTTCGATATCAGGCATGGATTCCTTGAGGCCTTTTCCGTGTTTGAAATCATGAGAGACACATCCGCACAATTTCCTGTCAGTTGGTGAACGGCTGACTTCCTGTTCAATTTCAGACATCGTTTCCCGAGCCTTTTTCATGAGTTCTATCATGAAGCTAAACCCAATTTCATGCTTATGAATGAAATTGGTGTCGGGGGCGAACTTCTTTCAAGCTTTCCAGGTGGCGCTGCTGGCTGACAATTCCAATATCTGTGATTGGACTGACCTGTGGTGAGGGAAGAAACTGAGGGTTGGTGCGTCCGTCCAAAATGTTCCTTAGCAGCGTATCGCCCAAGATCTTGCTCAGATGCCCGGCCATGACCGTCTGCTGCTCCACGCCGCAATGATTCTCAAGGGACAAGATGACCGGGAAGTCGGATGTCTATCAAGAAAAGGCAGAGCTGCACGTCGTATACAATACTGAACTCTCGTATTGATTGTTTTTTTTTCATACATAATAAGTGCTACTACCCACCACGAAGGCATATTCTTTCAGTGTTGCAATGATGTCCTTGAAGAGGATCTTGGAGGTGAGAGTGTGGCCATGATAAACCACTGGCTCCCCATCGCTGCCATCCCAGCAGTCCACCTCCACGCAGCGACAGCCTCTCTTAAGAGCTCTTTGTTGCGCAGACATTTGAAAAAAAGTTTGGATCATTTGAGTGTTTCGAGTTCCCAGCGTGGTCACTCAAAAAATCCAATTTGTAAGTCAAGGCACCCCTGTACGTCATGGGGTTAAGTCATTTTTTTTGTGTTTGTTTGCGGTATGAGCAGCAGATCTTACTGGATGTAGGCCTCAAGGCTGCTCTGGCCTCGAAGCTGGTCCTCCATCAGGTAGGTGTTGTGCGAGGAGGAAATGAAATAGTGGCTAAGCGGCTGGCTCATATCCTGGTAGAGACCCAGACGGTCGGGTTTGAATATGGAACCCTCCGGAGAGCACAAGTACATCTGGAAGCCGTCGAGGGACATGGTGCCTTGCTTCTTGGCTGCACAAAGACAGATCAGAATTGACAAATTGACCGCTTCCAAGCAAGTGATACCCTGAAAAAAAAAAACATTCCCAAAATCCTAAAATGGACGATTGGGTCTGGATGCTAACCGATTCGTCGTGTGTGATCTCGCCCGGTCCAACGCAAAGAGCGATATTTATCTGGTAGTATGACGGAGCGGCCGTCGTGAAACGACAAAAAAAGTCGTGTCGAATAAACATTCAAGTGCGCCACTTCAACTGACCTGTTCCTGATGGTTCCTGGCGCTCCATCAGCTCCCTGGCATGTCGAGCGCTGCCTTCTCCCTCCTGCTGCTCTACGCTCAGGAAGTTCTCCAGCTCTTCCAGCATTAACGTCTCCCCGTCTCCAGAGTAGTCCTGGAACACTCGCCACACCTCATCTCTCTGGGTCAGCATCTTGTAGAAGAGGACAAACTGCTCGAGTTCCAGTGAGCCGCTCTGCGATCGGTCTGCCATCTGGAAAACAAACGGAAGATGGCCGATACTTTTCTTTGAGGACCGACAACTTTCCAAGTCGTACCGTGAAGAGATGGAGAGCACGTTCCTCATTCATCTCCACGTTCATCATCTTCAAGAGCTTCCGCACTTCTTTGAAGTTCATTTTCCCATCTTTGTTTTTGTCGGCCTTGTGAAACCAGTCTCGGACCCACCTGAGAGGATGCTCAGGGAAACTCGGATCGGCACTCAGACGAGTTGGGATTCATGTCATTGAAATAGCTGTTCGAGTCCCGCAAGCTCCACAAAATGACTTGTAATAAAATATGTCCTACCATTTTAACTCATTCGCTGTCATATACGTTTTGCCCATAATCTGCTGTGTTTTAAAGAACATGCCCTGGAGAAAATGGATGCCTGGACTGTCTATGTCACAAGGTTAAGGATACTGGTCCAGTCTTTGCTTCTCATCCATGGTTTGAGCCCTGTGAATGAGCTTGCGCAATCCCCGGATCCAAGCCCGAGCCTCCTCTGGGGACTCGGCCACGAGGTCTAGGTTGCCTTGACGACCATGAAACACCAAGGTGAAACAGAGGTCGGCCGGGAACTCATCCGTGATGCTCTGCAAGACCTCTGATTGGTGGCCCTCGCGCACCGCCTCCACCTCGATCACTGAAACTGGGGCAAAATCAGAGGGCGGGGAGGATTTCATTCATGACCAATTTGGAGACTTTCACCAGGTATGCAAATGACAGCAATATTCATCAAGAGATTTTTCGAAATGCAACAACAATTGTACAATGTAGCTATGTAGGTGCTGAACTGTGGACGTAACGGTTTTTAACCATTTTGGTTTTCCCAATTTTGGGAGCATAACTGAAACAACGCCGCGTGATGCATTTCGGGGTCCGGCAGGATTTCCCACTCCTTGACTATGTACGAACTTGAGCGCCTTCATTCGCATCAGCAGTTGTCCGGTGCAATTGCGGCATGCACTGAGCTAGTTAGCTAGCTATGCTTACACCTTGCAAATGAATCTTAGCTTGGGGAAATCGGTGGGCATTGGCACTGACAAGTGCCTCGTTGTCAGCCGTGAGAGTGTGCACTTGACACAGAGAAAGGTGGATGAGCAAGCAATGAGTAAAATGTTTCAAATATTAGTTTTGTTTTTGACAGCCGGCGTGTGGACTTAGGGCTGTTGTGGTGGCTTTCGAGTGCCTTGTTGATGGCCATGAGTGCATCTCACAGAAGAAGGCAGAAGCGTGAGTTTAAAAAAAAGAAAAGTCCAATGTGACACCCAGCATGCAGACAGGAGCTTTGCGCTTGCGTAGTCCGTTTAGCGCACCTCATTGTCGCTTTCAGTTGGGGCTTCTCAAAACTTTTTCCTGTGTTGTCGAACATGTCCACGCAGTTTCGTCTCCATCGGTGAAACTGGTGATTCGGGTGTTTTTCTTCCCCCCCAAAAAAAACTTTCCAGCGGGCACTACAAAGTAAGTTTAGGGGGTTGTATTTGAGACCACTGAAATATATATATATTTTTTTTTTATTAGGTGATGTGTTTGCAAAAGCTGGTGAATTTTCAGGCATGGTGTAACTAACATGAAAACCACAGAGCCATGAGGGAAAGTTTTCAATTATAATTAAGCAGAGGTATTTCGTAACTGAGTGACTTTCGGGGGTTGTTGGGAACGTACAGGTGGAGTGGCCTTTTCCCAGCCATCTGGACTTGTACCAAATACTCAGCCCGTCCTCCAGGAGTCGGAAATGCCTTTGCTTTTTCCACAAGCGGGACTTGACCTTTCTCAAAGTGGACCCGGCCGTCATCACCTTGATGTCAGGGTCATCCTGAAAAACTGGAGGCCAAGACGTCGTCATAACAAGGAAGGAAAAAAAACGTTTGGCGTCATATGAATCATTCGCATGTACTCACGTGAACCCGGAGAGTCCATTTTGTTAGCCCGTAATCATGCCAATGGAAAGATGCTCCTAAAACAAAGCAGATGTTCGTTTTTGGATTCCAGTTGTTTGAAAATCTGGACCACCATACTACAAAAACCATTTGTTGGTGTTCCTGAGAAATGAATGCGACGGGAGGCTTTAGTGAAGCATTTCGAGTGCACGGTGCTTGCTTATCAAGGAAAGTAAATCCAAAAGTCACTTCCTCCCCCCTGTCTGCGTCTGTTGACTGCAAAATGTGGCCGATAAGCTTCGGAAAGACGATGGGTTGTTTTCACCTGATCCTGAGTTTGCACGCGTGAGATATCGTATCCTTTCAGCTGTGTCCTGAAACAACACAGATTTAGCTTTGCCTTTAAAAGCGCTCCCACGCTTCAAGTTTGACCCTCGGGAACAGGAGTCACGTCCCTGAGTCAGTCGCATGTTTTGATCAGTCAAAGGTTCCATCACACATTGTTTTTATTTCTTTGTTTCTTTGCTTGATCACGTATCAAGCAACTGTATTTAGATTTGGGGTCCCTCTGGTTTCTTGATGAAGGCTGAAATATCAAAAATAAGGAATATTGTTTTCATTCGGTCTGTTATCTTTTTTTTGTTTCAATCTGGCCATGTGATCGAGATACCAAAATACATTGAATATGTCTCACCTTATTAAAATGTCACAAACATACAGATAGCGATAAATATTGTCTCTCGGATTGTTAATTGGCAAAGACATTATTTCACTGTGCATTTCATCGCATAAAAAAGACATCTCGTGCGAATGGGTCAATGTGACCCGCAATATGGCAGGACAGTAAAGAGGTGATTTTTTTATGATTTTTTTTTTTTCACAAGACTCAGTCACTTTCTGCAAACACAACTGGATTACGTTGATGTCATGCCGATGTTTTCCGGAAAGTCCACCATTCACAAGGCTCCTCCTCTGAACTGTAAAATAAGGTCACAAGTGTGCACTTTTTATTTTAGGGGCCCGTCGGAGTGAAGTGTGTTTTGTAACACAGCTCCCACGGGGTGAGATGAGTCATTTCGAATCCGAAGCTCTCGGGGAAGTTCACTGGCCACACGTGCAAAGTCACCTTGATGTCTGGCCAAACAGAATTAGGGAATTAACGACTCAGCCGGGAACAGAAACGTCTTGTTTCTTGTCTCATTGAGTTCATCATACAATATACTGTAAACCATGTTTATTCAGATTTGTGTTATTTCTGATTCTTCTAGATCATTAAAGAAACGTCTCGTTCCTGAGAAACTAAATGGAAACAGACGGTTAATCAGCGACTCACTGGTTAGTGTGATGCAAATTGTTCCTTGGGATTTTTTTTTTTGTGAGGGGGGTGACATTTCTGACACTTGGTGAGACATGCTCGGGTCAGTTTGACTGTGAAAATGATGGTTGTTCACAAATTTAACATGAGGGTTAAAAGGTAGGATCCTCGCTTCCCCCTCGCTAGAACAAACATGTTACAATTTACACAAGACTCAGAAACATTAACCGAAGGCTGGAATGGCCTCATACACGTAAAAAGGGAATGCTCGCCCATGACGAACCGATGTTATTGCTGCAGACTGTAAATTAGAACCAGACACACTATAAATACGTGACATCATCTTAGCCCCCCCAAAAAAAAAAAAAATTATAAATATATACACCGTAGACACAAAAGCAAGCTTGTATTATTGAGATACTAAGAATAGCTTTATTTACCAAAAGTGCAAGTCTCCCTGGCGACGAGTCAGACGTCCGGATGCGGTCGACTTAAAGTGGCTCCCCCGCTAACAGCCTCGTTTCCTGGGGGGATGCGGTAGGCGTGATGCATTGTAGGCAGCCTGAGAGATTGTCCAGGGATGACATGTTGCTTGGATGTTTGGATCCAGACGCTTGGAAGGGCCAGGGAGCATTTAAGTACTGGGAGTGTCCGAGGAGAAATCTGTCGGACACAGACCGTGACTGTGCTGCTCCTCCTCCTCCTCCTCCTCCTCTTCTTGAGCCTTCCTTCCTTTTGGGCCACTCCCGCTACAGCCTGCTTTTCTTTTGCTGCATCCCCCCCACCACCACCGAGGCCATCATGTGCCAAATGTTGTCGATGAAGACCACAAGTCAAAGAGGATATATGAAGGAAAATTGGACCTATATTTTTTTTAATTCCGAGTATACAATTACCGGTAGTTGGGTCTCTGGAGTGCATGCCCACCCATCAACTGTGCAATTAAGCAGATCAGACTAAATGTGTGTGTGTGTGTGTGTGTGTGTGTGTGTGTGTGTGTGTGTGTGTGTGTGTGTGTGTAGATACTGGATCTATACACGCGCACACACACACACACACACACACACATCGGCGCTTGCCAAAAAATTTGAATATCATGAAAAAGTTGATTTATTTCAGTAATACTATTCAAAAGTGAAACTTGTGTAATGCATACATGCACATGCATTCCGTACAGACCGATCAAGTGTTAATTTTAATTTAGATGAGTAAATGTGTATATATACACATTTAAGGCTCGGGCACAGAATCAAACCCACGGCCTCTGTACTATGAGGCAGACATGCTTAGCAGTTGTCCAGCGTGCTCATCTGTAAATATATTTATGGACGCCATTAAATGTGGGCTCCTCGGTCCAATCTGGCTAATGCACTCCAATATTGACTTGCTGTATGGCCTCTGCTTGTAAAAGTGAATTTGGCAAGAATGCAGCAGACCCACTTAGAAACAGCTTGCATCGAGAGCACACAAATGCATCTCACAGGATAATGGAAGCTATCAGGTAGCATGGTCTGCTAATGCAGTGGACTTGCTCTTAGTTTCTGTTGGGCCCCGTTATATCCACCCGAAATGTCAACTTTTTAATTGCATAAAGGGTGATTTGAGATGTGAGCAGCAATCAGAGCCCCCGTTTTCATGGCAAATCGTGTTCATCACATTTCGACGCCACGCTCTGCCCGTGTCAGTCTAAAAAAGACGAGCTCAGAGGTTTCAAATGTTTTATTCATCCAAAAAGAACAATCCGAAACTTTTTAAGTGTGTTACATAGTGAAAATTGCCGGAGGAAAAAAAATTAGCCAAAAACATTCCGGAAGGGCTGGCAGTCATTAATGTGCTACGTTTTAGCCAAATGTTGCCATTTGCTATTTACAACAGCACTGAAGGTACAGTATTTACAGCTTTCAACATAATGTAGTACAAAACTTAAGTCACCTTTTGATCATTCAACCGTAAAATATGTCAAGACTCCCAAAAGTGAGATGGACAAAACTGCCAACTGTAAACGACATATCCACCGATACGTATGGTGGCCCAGGCAGGACATGCCGGGAGGCTGGTTACAATTGTTGCCACACCCTGCATGAAAAATGCTAATAGCCGCAAACAAAATGAGCTTCATTCGCTTACCGAGGCGTCCAAGTCGTCCATGGAATGACCAATTTGTACTTAAGAGTCCATGTCATACCAATTTTGCGGCCACAAATGAGTATTTCATGCGCACATTATACACATATGATGGGTGTAAATTGGGAATTGCCGACGGTATACCAATTCCCTGGTCAAGATTGTTTTTTGTCATGGCCAGGGAATTGCAGCCACAATTTGGTGCATTTAACACACACACACAACACACGGTGATGGTTCAGCACCCCCCTCCATCCCAATATACATAGAAAAGGTTTAACAACACTTTTTGAATTGTTTGAGGGGGTGGAAAAAAAAGACACCCCCCCCCCCCAAATTCATTTTCAATAGCGGTCAATTATACTCATATTTTCAGGGTTGGCAAGCCGTCACGGTCCCCATAGCGGGGGCATTTGATCAGTGGATGTAAATCGTCCATCTCGGGAAAAAAAATTGTGACAGTGGAGATGACGACTCCGCTACCGGAAGCAAAACTCCAGAAGGAAATCAAATCGGAATGGACTGTAATGCAGCCCTTCCCTACGCAGACTGTCCTAGCACCACGTTTGGCCAAAGTACAAGCAACTCTCGCGGCATCACTGCGGGGCCAAAGGGATGCCCCGGGCGTCGGTCACCTGGCCCTCCTGGAGGTTCTTCACCAACTGGCCCAGCCAACGCTTGGTGGTGGTGTCGTCCTTCAGCACCTGCGCAAAGGTGCTGTCCTTCAGCTGGTCGGGCAGACACTGCCGCAGAGCTTCTCGGGCTCTGAATGCACAAAAAATGGTGACATTGTTTCAGTGATGCGATGGCCCCTCCTACTGGCAGGTAACAAGTCAATTTCAAAGGCTAGACAGTCAAACTCAGGCACGATTGGACTTCAAACAGGTGATTGAGCGTGTCATCGCTACACCAAAAGACTGGACATGTGGATCTAAAAGATAAGAAATGGCTTGCTCTACATTTGATTTAAAAAAAGATGTGAAAAACCCTTAGATGTTTTGAATGGGTCAATTGGACCCTCAGCATAACAGTCAAGTTAATCATCTTGAAATCTGGTCCCCCCCCCCCCAGTTATGTTGCAATGTCAGAACGAACGAGCCCTCTGAGTCACATGAAAGCAAAGCGCTACGTACCGGAGATTATCCGAGAGGCGGAGGTAGCATCGAACCACGTGCTTCAGCAGACGCGCCGAAGGCTCTTTAGACAACTGCAACACCATCTTCCCCTGCGGACACAACGGGCGACATTGTCACGCGCCGTGGACGGCGAGCTTCAGACGGTCGGCTGTGTCACTCACGAGGATCATGGCCACATGGGAGAAGCGCTCGTACGTCTGGCAGATGTAGGCCAGCCCCGTGTCGTCCAACAGGATCTTCTGCAGGATGAAAGTGGCAACCTAGCCGACAAAATGGCCACCTTAGAGACCAGATAAGATCCGAGCCACGAAAGACGTGCAAGGAGACAATAGAGCTTTTCTTCATCAATGAAGAACGATCCCCAGTTCCTCTCGGACACGTTTTCAGAATCGGGACTATTGTTTGGTACTTCAAATTACATTTCCCACCACGTCGCCCACTTTGACAAATGACTTGTCTTGCGGAAAACCCAGCATAAGCGCAGCTGTGCGCGTCAAGATCCCCAGTTCCTCTCGGACACGTTTTCAGAATCGCGAATATTGTTTGGTAAAACCCAGCATAAGCGCAGCTGTGCACGTCGTCACAAAAGTTCATTACCGTCTTGGAGAGTTCGCTTCCAGATTCCATGATGCGGAGACACAGCGGAATGATTTCAGTCGTGAGGAGGAAGTTGATCACTTCCTGCTCATCCGTTTTGACCAGAGCGCCTGTGGTGACGACAAAGAGGCCGCTTAGGACGTACCCCGCCGACAGAAAAGAAAATGCACGTACCTATGACCCCCAGGCTGGTAAGTCGCAGGTACTCAAACGGGCGTGTTTTGCTGACAGTGTGCAGAAAGGGATAAAGGAAAAGGGGGATGTGAGCTGCGAGAAAGGCCGACCTAGAGGGGGACGACAATAAGCAAAGGCATTACAATTATTTCTTGCATGTTGTAGTCACAGTATTTTATCAAGACAACACTGCTTTACATTTAGGAAAAGATCTTTCTGATTTTGTTATATATTAATAATATCAATAATTTCGTGAAGATATTGGGCACCATTTCACAGAAAGTGTGCTTAAGTAAATGTTAATAGCTCCAAAAAATTCTAGTAAATGTAATGTACTATACTTTAAAGTTAGATACAACTGAACAGTACTTCAAAAAATGTACTGCACCAGATTAAAAAAAAGTTTAAATACCGTATTCCTCCGACAAATTAATTTTTATGCGGCATTTAATCAGGTACGGTTTGTAGTATGGAAATGATGGTAAACTGTAAGCATGGCTGCAAGTTTCATTCTATGTTCGATTGCATTGTGTTTTAAACCAGAGTCATTTTCTCTCCTTTCATCCCATCCCGAATTTGTCGCAAGAATTCATGAAGGCAGTGATTCCAAGATTTACCTCGTTTCCGGGTGTGAGGCGACACACTGAAGAAGCGCTAAGGCGTTGCACACCCTGTTGGACTGGTGAGCCGTCAGCGTGGGCGGGTTTATCGAGGGGTAGATGTTCACAATTTCCTAATACAGGGCAAGAAACGTACGCGAATAAACAAACCTACATCGGTGACCCTGATCAGTGACACATTGCTAGACGGATACCTGCAAAAGGGCGGCGATGGTGCCACACGAGTGCCAGAGCATGGGTGCCAGGTCGGGCACAGATTCCCGTTTCTTACTGAGCTCCAGCAAGGCGTTCTCTCTGGTTTCTGGGCTGGACAACTCATTGATCCACTGGTAAATCTTCTCCCGGTCTACCTGAGCCAAGGCAGTGACGTTGGTGACAGCCTGTCAAAAGGCCAGAGGATGCCAAGAATGAGCCCTTCCTCGTGTAAGAGAGGTTATGAAACACCACTCCAACCATCCACCCTAAAATATATATCCATTGTGAGGAAAAAAAGAGGGCTGAAAATAGTTTCGTTTTTGCTCCACTTCTTTTGTTTGTTTAAATATATTACGTGTCAGGTACACTATGCATTTATGTGAAACTGAACTTTGATGACAATCCCCCCTCCCCCCGCAAAGAAAACACCAAAAGCTAACCAAAACAATGAGTTAAATATCAACATAACTGCACAGTGCCCTTGATTGTGATTGTTTGGTAACACAAAGGAATAACATGCACTGTTATGACGTCGGGTTCAGGACACTTCCAACTCGCAACCAACTTTGATGGCCACTTCCATTTGTTTTTGAAGGGATTACATGTCGTTGTCTGGTTAAGCTTATGGAAGCTTGATGCTATCATAAAGGTCACGCCTAAAATCTTGAGACGTTGGCCAGAAATCGGTGCCTTTTCACCGTTTTTAAAGAGTCACAACTTACTAAATATTTGTCACAGGAAAATGACACCGTGTACCAGTTGGAAGCGTCTTGACAATATATGTCTGGTAATGATGGTCCTGTGTAAATCAATCGGTATCCGATGCAATGTATTTGCATTGGATCAGGAATGCTTGGAAAATACAACTCTTAGGTGACAGATTTTGCCTGAACTTTCGTCCGTGACGCCATGGTGAGTGATTGTCTGGTTGGTAGAAAAATGGGGGACATTCATTTTGCACTTCACAGATGATCAATACTAGGTCGAAAGTACTTACGGCTCCCGTGGCCAGCATTCTCAGAATTTTACTAAGAAGAGTAAAAAAAAAAATTAAAAAGAAAAAAAACCGTAAATTTCAATGGCGAGTGCAGTTCAAGTTGAAGAAACTGTTAGCGCTAACGCTAGCCGCTAGCAAGTCATGTCTTCATACGCTGAAGCGGAGTGTTGAAACTACATTACAAACAGCTCAACCTGGCGTAACCAAAAGAATTAATCGCCACACGCGTCCTGGTTTGCGCACACCGCAAACACCAACAATACTTTCAAATTTGCGTTATCGTCGCTAAATTAAAAAAAAAACTAACGCGGACTCCACTTTCGAGTTCTGCAAGACCCTAGTTGATGAGATATCGTGAGATTCGACGTAACTTACCCGAGTCCTGATCCCGCGCGTCATTTCCGGGGTAAATTTTCACGTTCCCGCCATCATCGCATTGCGTTGCTGCGAGTCCTCACCTCTGTGTCAACAAGATTCCCTACAAGGAGCCGGCGGTGAATGCCGGCGAAACAAAGTTTGCTCTCTAAACAACGATATTTTGATCCCAATCGTTCCACAGCGAGCGTAGACCAACAGCAGGTGAGAACATTTCAAATGATGCAGTGTAAAACAGGTCGCTGTTTTCACCTCCCCGAAATGACAAGCAGGCAAATTAGCCTGTTAGCCACGTTAGCTTTACTAGCCGACCCGCTAATGTCGGCCTTACTCCATCCATCCATTCCGAGAGGACGACATTGACTCCGAAATGGACAACTCTGCCCGGTTCTCACGAGTTGAAATGCTTTCTGGTAATACGTGTCCAGCTTCTATTGCGGCGTTGGATTTCCTTACGATATGCGAGTGCTTCGTCTTCTTTTCGCTCAGTTTTCCTGCGGCGGTCACACCAGCAGTCACGCCAGTTTCCAAAAGCCCACACGTCGCGGGACACACAGTTTGACTTCTGTGGCAGTTTTGTAAACAGAGTTTTAATCGTTAGGAAACGTGTGACATGCTCGAACATGCAAAGTGTGTGTGTGTGTGTGTTTGTTTGTTTGTTTGTTTGTTAGCCACTGTGCTATCTAGTTTCTAACTTTGACTCCGTCAATTTGTATGGGAGAGCTTAATTTTGCAAGAGTTGAGCGAGTGTCCTGAACAGCTGCTTTTGGTCTTGTGTTCTCCCCCACCATAGGATTAGATTGATCCAAAACCTCCAAAGTGCACCGACGGGATAGTTAAGCCATGGCCACCGTTGTGCCCAAAGTGTCTAGTGGCGGCACTGTGAAGGTGCGCTACACTGGCAGTGATGTCAGCGTCTCGCGATGGAAGGAAGGAACTTTTGAGATACTGGAAAAGGACACCAAAGTCAACCTCTGCCTGAAATTCAACTCGGGCGGCGCGGGCAAAACCTTCCAGGTATGTGGAATTTCTCGACATCAATCACGATGTTTATTTTTGCTTTGTTTTTTAGTAAGTAAATAGTTGTGCGAACGAGATGAGTTGACTTTTAGTGTATGAGTAATTTTATAGATTTTTTTTTTTTTTTTTTTAACCACCCTTTTTTGGTTGCACTAATTTGTGTCCATTTGGGCCATGGTTGAGCTGGAACACATGTCAACTTGCCCCCCAAAAATAAAATCACCATAGCAGTCTTTGTAATTTATCTTAAAGTGATGAATATTTTAATTAGGCTCTATCACAGTTTTCCATCCGTCCAATTTCTATTGTGCTTACCTCCTCATTAGTGATGTGGGTGAGCTGAGCCTCTTCCACCTGGCTTTGGGTGAGAGGTTTGGCACACCCTGGATTGGTGGCAGACTGTCCACATGAAGCCAAATGGTGTGATTGTTTCTTAATTCAATCTTTATTTAGATAAGAAACTGTCGACTAAATTTAGACCATGTCACAAACAAGCAATCTGAAAATGCATTAAAATAATAGCTTATTACCAAACAGGAAATTTAATGCAATTAATCAAAATGTCATTTGTCTCCCCCTCCCAGCTGAATCAGAACGTGAAGAAAGTCTCCCTCGCTACGAACAAAATCACACTGATTTTGAAAGACAACCGGATTATCACCCTGGACCAGATGTCTTCTACTTTGGCCCGGAAGACTAACGACTATCTGGAGAAGCTGATGCAAGGAAAGACAAGTAATTGGTCCCCCTTTTTAAAAAAAAAAAAAAATATATATATATACATATATATATATATATATATATATATATATATATGTTCTGAACATCTTAAAAAGGCAATTATTGAAATGGAAGCAGGGACTAAGAATGACAAAGAATTCACCGGTGTCTTGTCAGATCTGCAAAGTGTATTTTGGCAAAGATTCTTCTTTCCTTGCTTAGGCATTTTAAAGTCATCCCATGGAAGTGTAAACTTCAGTCTGCCGACCCGTCGCTCATTGAAGAATGAAATCGGTTCCCCCGGGGAAAGACAGGTGAGCGCTAGCTTTAAAAGTACAATTTTGTGAGCATCTGTTGAACTTGCATCGTGACCCACAGGGCCAGAACCTTTTTGCGGCGGCAGGTGTCTCTGAGCACTAGGGCCACCGACCCTCTTGAAACAGAGAGCAGCTTCTCGGGTTTTGGTTTCTCTGTAGTGCCTCCATTTTGACAGATATCTCAGTAATAACACATTCGCTCAAGCCGTTGAAATCTCACTGTCAATATGAACTCTACTTTTAACTTTTAGAATGAGTCGTTTTGACCCACAATGTAAACCGGAGGGTTTAATCGAAATATTCATACTTTGAACATCTTGCAGACAGCAACAAGACGTCAGAGTGCCGAGGGACGGGAGGACTCAACACCGCGTAAACCACTGGGCAGCCCGAGCAGAGCCGCCTCCACGCCAACTCGAACCGGATTTTCTGAGAACCGGTACGATGGACGCCTACGTTGCTTTTGACGTTGGACCTCACTGCTTTTTGCTGTCTAGAAGAAGCATGCAAATATGCATTTGAATCACTTCCTAACCTTCTCTTTCCAGGAGTGAAAAGAGAAAGCGACTCCTCACCTCTGAAAATGACTTGACTGAGGACTACCCCAAGGAAAATGATTCCTCCAGGTAAAAGTCAGTCACGCTTGAACTGAGTTGCAATGCACTTTGGATACACAATATTCATTAACCTCTCCTGTTATGTCGCGGGTCCGAATGACCCATTGTTATTTGTGGAAAAATGTCTGCTTGGCCGGTGAATGACTGAATGCTTTCTAAAGAATAATTGATGTTGTTGATGGGGGAAAAAAACAGACCAATTGCAGAATGATTACAGCATGGAAAGAAATAGTTGGTGCCTTGTGATCAATTCATTGTGCTACTTGTGGTGTACATGCCATGGCCACCAGGTGGCTGTATCAGACATGAATATTCATGAGACGTCACAACCGCTCAGTAAGCTGCAGTTATAAGTCTGGCTACGCAGAACACTGCCACGTGTATCCCATGGTAGCCCATCTGTGGCGTTTCCAATGATGTGTTGAGAATCAAGACAGCAGGCTTAAAAAAGGAATAACACAAAGGGTGAATACGGTGTGTGCACCTGTCTCAGTTGGAAACTTTGAACCGACAAAACAAAAAAAAAAGTATTTTTATTGATTTATTTATTCATTTTTCTTCATAGCAACAACAAAGCCACTTTGGAGCCATCTAGGAAGTTTTTACTGAGCTGCAAAGATAAACTCAAGCAGGCAGAGGACAACCGCAGTTTAGGTAAAACCTCCAGCGGTGTCATCTTGAACTAATCGAGCCAACGTCGTGCGATATCTCTCTGTTGTTGCACAGCATATTTCAGCAGCTTTTTTTTTTTTTTTTTTTGTCATCTTCCTCTCACTCAGCTCCCCTGGGTTCAACGACCCCCCTCCAGCCAACTTCATTCTACAGCAGTCGATCTGTGACCAAGGATTACAGCCAGAGCCACTCCTTTTCGGAAAGGTCAGCTCTGCGTGTATGGTGCGAAAATTGTTTCCCCCAATAAGTTGACATTCCCCTTTCCGTTTGACAACAACATGAATATCTCGGTAACGATGTTTCCTTGGCAAATGACATGAAATAGTATTAAAACTTAAAACGGATATTTCAGTTGGTTTTCACAAAGCTTCTCGAATGATCAGAAAATGGGGTGTCGTTGGAAAATGTCAGCTCTTTAGTAAATAGACAGGAGGCAGGGCAAACAGAGATAATAAGAGAGCTCAAATATGACAAAGTGCCTGCCAGTTTCTCCTCCGGCCAGGTCACACACACAAACAGGAAGTTACCATCCGCACCATGCGACCGGTGCCCCCAAACTACAATTATCACAGCAAAGTAATGGCACATGATCAGAGAGCGAGGAACACGGTCATCTGTCTTACCCTTGCACACACAAAAAAAAAAGATTATGAGGTGACATATGTCTTAGAATTGCAAAGGAATGTGTTTTTCCGACAGAAATGCACTAGCTCTTGAACCGTGAAGCAATTTGATGAAAGTGTGTCACAGATTGCGGACTGTTAAATGGTGGGCGGGGAAAAAGGCAATCACAATGTCTCCTTGAAACCTTGAATACAGTAACAGTGATGACATTTCCCACTTCTTAGGCCATCGAGTACGTCGGTGACGCCCACTGCTAAGCGCAGCCTCTTGCTGCCCAATCACTCCACTCCTTCCAAGAAAGTACGGCCGTCCGTGGATTACGGCGGCTGGAACAAGCAGCGGCCCACCACCGCGACCCAGTCGCAGCCTCCCTTGCAAGGGTAAGCGTCGAGTTTCTTGCCCGTCGGAGGGCCACCCTCACCCGTGTGTATCTTCTGACGGCGCCGTCCGGTGTGCAAAATGCTTGGCAGGTTTTCAAATTTGGGCAACACTTGCTACATGAACGCCATTCTGCAGTCGCTCTTCAGCCTCCCGTCCTTCTCCAATGACATGCTGAGGCAGAGCATCCCTTGGAAGAGGGTTCCCATCAATGCGCTGCTCAGGTAGTCAATTGTTGTATTTTGCCAGAAGTCTCAGGAATAAGATTGCATTTTTATGAGAAAAAAAGTTGATTTTGCAGAATCAAGGTGCAATATTGCAAAAAATATTGGTATATTTGATTGACTCTTCATCATACCAGATATGAGAATGACAATGTATTTTTATGATTAAAAAGTTTTAATATCATGACTATTCTCTAAAATACACAATATAGTTAATTACAAGTGGGTGGATTACAAATTTTACTTTGTAATGTCATTTTTTTCTTTCAAAAAATTGCAGCTTTTTCCTCAAATAGACAACAGTATTCCCACAATCGCATAGTTTTTATCGAGAAAATATTGCGCTTAATATTGCGCTTATTATTTAAAAACAAAAAACACTTAATAGTTATTACAACTTCTATCTCAATTTATTTAAGTTTTTTTTTTTTTTTTATAACATTGTTTGGTTATTTTTTCGTTTTAATCTTTCCCCCAAATACACACCGTCCTCTCAATTAAACTTTAATCTTGGAATATTAGGACTTTCATGCCAACTGTCACAACTTTTGATTAGATTCAGAATGCAGGGCTTGAAATGCGTCCGATTATCTTCAACTACTATAGTTGTGATTTACCCGTATTGGTACGTCCAGGCGTTTTGCTCATCTTCTGGCCAAGAAGGACGTGGGCTGCCCGGAAACGCAAAAGGACCTGCTGAGAAAAGTGAAAAGTGCCATCTCGTCGACTGCCGAGCGTTTCTCTGGAAATGTGCAGAATGTAAGATGGAGACACGGTGAAATAAATCATTTTCACGCGTCCGTTTTTTTTTTTTTTTTTAACAAAGGTGTGTCGTGTCATTTCCGTCACTAGGACGCGCACGAGTTCCTCAGCCAGTGTCTGGACCAGCTGAAAGATGACGTGGAGAAAATGAACAAAAGCTGGACAAGTGATTCATCTGTGTCATCGTCCTCATCAGCGGCAATGTGCGAGAGTAGCCACGATGCGACGGAGCGCTCGCCAACGGCCAAGACGGACCCTGGCGAAGAAGCCGACCCCTCTCGCGTGTACACCTGCCCCGTGGCTGTTAACATGGAGTTTGAGGTGCAGCACACCATCACCTGCAAATGGTGAGGCCCTGTGGCTGCCCCTCTGCTTGTGGATGAAAAAGGGAGAATCCTCGTGTAAAAAGTCCTCCTTTTTTTTTTTCCAGTTGTGGCGAAGTGGTGACCAAGCGTGAACAGTTTAACGACCTGTCCATCGACCTACCTCGGAGAAAGAAGACCCTCCCACTTCGATCAATTCAAGATTCCCTGGACCTATTTTTCAGGGTGCGTCAACTTTGGCATGTTAAAAAAAAAATTGCAACATATTCCGCTATCCCAATCTGATGGCGTGAGCTGTTCCACCCCCCCATATTATTTTGTAAACACTCCCTCCTGTTCTTGGTGCAAGCAGTGAGTGGTAAATGCTATACATTAGCCTGTCTATGACATTTGCCGTTATGTGTTAGCATAAAGCTAACACGCGAAAGTGATGATTTGGTGGTTTAAATCCAAAACTTGCAATTCTTGAGATTCAACTCCTCCCGAGCCGTTTTAAATCCTACTTTTGAAACCCGAGTGTTGTAAAACAATGTTTTCCTCCTGCAGTTGGAGGAAATTGAATACTCGTGTGAGAAATGCAATGGAAAAGCAGCCACAGTTACACACAAGTTCAGCAAATTACCCAGGTAAACACACATGTCAAACCTGGAGTCGTGTATGCAATAATTAATATAAAACACCGTTAATAAATCTTTTCTTTTTTGCCTGCAGAGTGCTCATCCTCCACCTGAAAAGGTACAGTTTTAACGCCCAGCTGTCTTTGAACAGCAAGCTGGGCCAACAGGTGGTGATACCCCGCTACCTGACCCTACTGTCACATTGTACGGACTCCACACGGCCCCCCATCACTCTTGGCTGGAGTTCCCAAGCGTAAGATCTCGAGAGTCTTTTTTTTTTTTTTTCCCCCTCCCAATTTTTGTGAAAAATAATGTCTCTTTAACCCCCCCACCCCTGACCCCCTTCTCTGTTTTTAAAGGTCGAGAGCACACAAAACCTCGCAGTCACTCAATGCGTCAACGGCACCTCTCCGGTAAATTATGATTGTTCATCAACTCTCTCCCTCTCTCTCTCTCTCTCTCTGTCTCCTCCCATGTGAAATTCAAATTAGAACCCGATGGTTGTGCGTTATAGCAAGGTCGGAGGGAAGTTGGTCAGTTCCAACAACACATCTGCGCTAGTGGATTCAGACAGTGAAGAAGAGTTGATCAGAAAGGCGAGCACCAGCTGCAAACGACGAATCAGCAGCGGCTTGCCGGAAGATGATGAACGACCGGAGCAGGTGAAGTTTTCCGGCAGGGGGAATTTTTTTTTCTCCTTTTTTTTTTTCTTCTTCCCCCTAATGTAGTTGTCATTCTTAGCGGGGAGTTTCCATGGATCCGGCAGACTTCAGCGGGATTAATGACGACGAAATGTTAGAGGCCGTGTTGGAGTTCAGTCGCCAGGAGGCCGGTCTGACCACTGCGTCGGCCCTGGACGACGAGCCGACGAGCAGTCCGGACACGGGCTTCGGGGACACGGATGCTCAGGAATTGGCCTATCACACAGAGCTGATGGATACAGACACTAAACAGCCCGCAGGTATGTGGGTGTAAAAGAACAATATGTTGGGTCCAGAGTTGGTGTGTGACGGGGTTGTCGCCCATGTGACCATTATTATTTATTTGCTGGAGTTTTATCTGGACTGCGGTCAATTTGCATATCACTTGCCTGTATTTAGACGTGTTGGATTCCTTGGACTTGACCATGGACGAGAACAAGGAGAACCAAACCCCGGAGTGCTCGCAGGGCCAACAGGGGGAAATTGATTGGGTCCAACAGTACAATTTGGATCAGGAGAGGGAGGATCAGGAGTTGCAGCAAGCGCTGGCTCAAAGCCTCAAGGAGCACGTAGGTCTTCTCAAATGTGTCCTTTTCAACTTGAATGACTGTTTCTACGGTCTGTGCGAGTAGGCTGCTAATTTGTTGTCTTGTGCCCTCCGCATTTGCTTCCAGGAAGCCCAAGAGATGAGGGAGGCGGATGATCTGAAGAGGGCCACGGAGCTCAGCTTGCAAGGTGGGAACTGTCCATTCATTTCATGGGGTGTGCACGAACACCTCTCACTTTTTCCGGCCAACCTGTTTGAAACAAATGAGACGTGACTTTGTGCCCAGTTGCACTTTAATATCTTTGGTTGACAGCTTGGCTAAATATTCAGATTCAGAAAATGATCCTCGTGGGGCAATGAATGGGACGGAATCCATCAGTTATTGACACGATAATCCAATTATTTGTAGACAAGCCCAACTCCCGTTCCTATCATGTCCCCTTTAAAGCCGTAAATGTGACAGCGTCATGAGACTAATAAGAGTGTCGTCCCTCTGACAGAGTTCAACAATTCTTTGCCTGAGCTCATGTGCTCGGATGACGATTCCGGCAACGAAGATGTGCTCGACATGGAATACACGGAAGCTGAAGCCGAGAACCTCAAGAGGAATGCCGAGGTAGCTCGCATCCACTGATGCCCGCCTTCTCTACTACACGAGGAAGATTATTTCTGAAGACCCCGTCACCTCTCTTCCACAGTGCGGCGACTTGGCCAACTCCTTTCGGCTCATCAGTGTCGTCAGCCACATCGGGAGCAGCTCCTCCTCTGGTGAGAGCCTCGCTGGGTTTGACCTTGCCCAAATATTCTTTTGGAACGTCTGCTCCCATTTGGCCCAAACTTGAGAATGCCAATTTAATGGACGGCAAGTTATTCCCCCACAGAAAAATGTGTCCACCTGACTTGGAGCACATTTTTCCTCCCAAATTTGAAGCAAAAAAGCAGTAAGATGACCGCGACGGTCTTAATGGTCTTGTGAACTCATATCAACTAACCATTTAAAATCAGTGATTCGTGTGTGTGACCTTTCATGGATAGCAGCAAAAAAAAAAAAAAAGTACCGCGACTGTGTCGGTGGCGGACTGCAAGAGGAGCCTTAACGGACGTAGTTGGGTCTCCTCAGGCCATTACATCAGCGACGTGTACGACATGAAGAAGCAGTCGTGGCTGACGTACAACGACCTGGATGTGTCGCGCACGCAGGAGGCGGCCGTCCAACGAGAGCGCGACCGCAGCGGATACATCTTCTTCTACATGCACAAGTGAGTTGGCTTGTTTGGACAGCGCCAAATGTCGTGTTGCTTCCGAGCGGTTTTGATCATGTTCAGGAACAAGTTTATTTGCTGACAACTACGTTTACACACACGCATTTTCATTCAGGTAACCACAAGCATAGTACATATGTGTTTCCATTTTTTTCACAGACTACCAGAATACAGACATGAGTTCCAATTTGTTTTATTCAAGAGTGAATAGAAAAGGTGTGGTTCTTTTATCCTCTTCCAAAAGCACTTGCCTTGTCTGATCAGTCACATGGTCGAGTTGTCACGCAAGAGGATATCGACTTCATCGCTGTGGGTGAGATGGCAGTTCAAACCCGTTTCTGCTGTCTCAATCAGCGATGAGACAATGTTCTGCTGGGGAAAAAATAAAATATACCCCTTTCATATGTGCATACGTGCATTTACTTTGTCATCCTGTCACGGTTAAACTCATGTTAGGCCACTTTTTCAATACGTTTTCTTTTCCGTCCATAGTGGTACCTTGACCGCAAGTTGAAATCACTTTATGTGCTATTCATTCATTCCAGGTCCCCAAAACAATTTGGTTCAATCATTTCAATAAATAAAAATGATTTCAATTTGTATTTGACTTTGTCCTGTTGGATAATGAAAGTATCGACTTAACTTATAAGTCGGGGTAGCACCGGACTTCAAAATATGGACACCTAAAAGCCGATGTAGCATCGATTTATATCCTTGTCGGTCCAGTGAGTTAAATGTTACCGTCGAGATGAGCAGCAGGAGAATGTCCAGATTGTTAGATGAAAGCCTCGTATGTTCCTCTGTATGTTGTCAGGGATGTGTTTGAGCAGCTGTCCGAAATGGAGAAGGCCCCCGGCAGTGTCTCAGACTTTGGAAGAAATGTCCTGCAGCCCCTCTGAGCTCCACCAAATCTTCGGCCACAAAACAGCCAGAACGTAACTAGACTGGTGTCTTATTTACTACTGATTGCTCTTCTCAATTCTCCGCTTTCAATTTTGACACTTGTTGCTCACAAAACACAACAGAAACACGACTGTCTACTTGATGAGTGCAGTTACATTGCCTTGGTGTTTTGGGGTCTGCAGTTCTTTGCTACGGTTCCATCAAGGAACTGTTATGTTGTTTTCACCAAAACACTTGATAAATTCTCTATTTTTCTTCCGCAACCCTCCGTTTGTTTTATAAAGTAAATACAAAAATGACTATGTTGGATGATAAGCTATTATTTAGAGTGTTAGAAGGTTGCTGTATTTAGCGGGTACAGTTGGTGCAATATCCTTTTCAGCACAATTCAAGCTTTGTGTGCATTTTTCAGTGTCTCTCCCCAAGTTGCTGTTTGTGCTATATTCCTGTTAAGTCCCCCCACCCCCATGAAAAAAAGCCCGCCTATGTCTTGCGTTTCGATCATGTGCCTCCCGAGAAGTCTTTTATAGATGTTATGTTTGAGCTTTACTTTTTTTTTTTTTTTTTTCGCCCACCCAATATTTTTGTCAAAATTTTCACTTTTTATAGTCGGGAGTTTTTCTATTTATTGCACCGGTCATTTGTCCAAATTGACCGGTGAAGATGCAGAACACCAGGGAAGTGAAATCTGTTATGATGAGCTCAAACCTTCTCGTCGGTCCCATTTAGTCTTTTTGCAGAGAGATTAGCTCACGTTTCCAACCACGACACCCTCCTGAAATCGACCGTGTTCAGTTTCCTGTTCAACCTGACAAAATTCTTACAGCCGACTTTGGTAATAAAATATTACAACGAACGTCGAATTGGTTTTCAAGTGTTTAATGAATGGACTGGTCACAAGTGGGTGTCACCTCTCCTGGTGGCATGGCTTCATCATGGGCAGTAAATGTTGCCCCGTCAGTCTGTTGTACTCGCGAAGAATGTAGCTTTCCTTCTGCAGCATCTATCGGAGCACAGCAACATAAAATGTCACATCAAAACTGCTAATTCAATACAAAACGTCTCCCTTTGCCGATGACAAACATGTTCCTGGGTCAATTTGACCCGCAACGTAACTGGAGGGTTAAAACCCGTCCGTCCATGCAATCGTGGGCACACATACCTCACTCCATTCCTCCTCTGTTTCGTGTCTGTAGCCAAGCAGGTGGCAAATACCATGGGCCGTCACCACCTGCAAACGCATGGAGTGGTCGTCAACAAACCCATTGTCACGGTGAGGCTCGGTCATTTCGGTGCACCCACTCACAGTGAGCGCTTCGTGCAGATCCGTGGACTCCTCCTGACACTGTCTCATGACGAACTCCACGCCCAGGAAAATGTCGCCGAGGTTCAGCTCGTCTCTGTGGAGGGGACACGGCATCTTACCGGGTCTCAGGCCCTGGAAACCAAGCCGATAAGATTCAGTTAGCATTGCGCGAGGAGACTTTCACAAAGAAAGATACATGTTTGACACGTGGGTCAAACTAACCCTTCATGAAAAGTATTAAGTGGCAAAGTGTAAACAAGTCTGAATACCGATTGAAACGGTGAGGCGTGACTTAACCAGATAAACAATTACAAGTTTTTTGGGGGGTTTGTTTTTTCACCTTTTGGTATTTGGGTCAAAATGAGCATGGAACATGAGTCAAGATCTTGAGAAACACAACGGGAGATTTATTGATGGAGTTAATTAGATACATTTGGGAATGTTTCTTGTTGAGACGTTTGGGTGACGGGTCAAACTGACTCCAGAACTTGACTGCTATTCCAGAGAAATGGGAATCGAGGTGCCATTAACAAACCATGGTTTTGCGGACTTAAAATATGTATTGGAAGGGCGAGTGATGGACCTTTATCTCATTTTAATTTGGCGTAATGTGTCAAATTGAGCCCCAAAAGTTAACCGCTTATAATTTACAATCTATCCTGGTGGGATCGAGGGTGCAATAGCAAAACACAACATAGCCACCCATAAACGTTACTGCGGCAATACTACGTTTGTGTTGGGTTTACCTCATGGAATGGAAACGAGAGGACATCTGTGGGTTCATCTTTTTTCCTGTAAATGTTGTTGATGTGCTGAATCCTGCGGTTGTCCACACAAACGACGCCCAAGTCGAACTTGTGGATACCCAAGATGTGCCTGAGCGTGTTCACGTCCTTACGGAGCCGGGCGCGGCGAAGAGGCACCACCTTCTGAAGATTCCTTACTACTACACCCATTTCTAAATAGCTGATATGTTAATATCGATTTGTAAGAGATGATTGCCAGTCACACTGAAAACACAGCAGCGGCCATGTCTGAAATCAAGGTGACACGCGCCAGTAGTGTAGCGTACGAAGTAGCGAAGCCGGTTCAGTGTTCCGGACCATTTCTGGATGAATGTTAAGATAGATCCGATCAAAACTGCGTTCAAATAGTTGCATTTAGTTGTCGTTTTAACACAGTTTCGGTAAATGAAAGGCTCCGCAATGGCAGATTGCACCGTGTTCAACGGCTGTGTTGCTTTCAACGAAACTGAAATCGGCTGACAACAGTTCTACCAAAAAAAACGATAAGGGCTGTCGTCAGTCAAACTGTCATCTCCAACAAAGCAAGTAATCTTAATCGAGATCGCCAGGCACGTTTGGCTGGAACGTTTTGATGAAAAACGGCGTCGTATCCAAGCGGCTCATATCCACGAATCGCTAGCAGTCGCGAACGCAACGTCATTGAATCGTCATATCCCAAACCGGATATACCGTTGTTTGTAACAGTTCTTTTTTTCAAAACAGTCAGAAATTATAATTTAATTGGCTCTATTTCAGAGCGTAATAAAGGTACTTGTATTGATTGTTGGACAATCCGCTGTTTAATATGACTACTGTCAGGAAGAAAAAAATAAAAACGGCCATACTTTTGCCCCAAGGCTGAATTCTTAATTTTGTATCTGCGTATGCGTAACTGTATTTAAAAATGTAAGCGCGACACTTAAATTACATCAACGGAGGCAGCAGGCAAGCACGTGTAGTGATTACCCTAAGGGTTTCTGATTGGTGGAGATCACAGCCAGCTCCTCCACGCTCTTTGAACTTTGCTTTTTGATTGGTCAATCGTTCTCGGCTCATGTCTGTCCATGGTTGAAGTTATTCTCGGATGGTGCCCCTTTGCCTCCTGGGTAATGTAGTGTAAATGCGGTTTACTTCAACGCTCTGAGCCTCCTCAAGCACTACATGTACCATGAGTGGCATTTAAGAGGCGGGAACCTTCGTATGTATCTTTAGACGTTCTTTGAGTCAGTGGAAGACTCTTGTTAACTTTGCCGGGTATGACTGAGAAAATGTGAGTATTGAACACACCCGAACCCCACCAAATAAGACATTTTTAACATGAAAACTTGGTTGCTATGACGAATAAGAGTTTAAATATGTTGCTGTCAGTGGTTGGATTTGACCTTTTAATAACATAATATCAAACCTCTGATTATGATCATTTTATTAAATGTACATTTGGTGTTTTATAACATTCCATTCTTCCTGTCATCGTATTGTTGATTTAGTCGCACTGAACTGAGAAACCTAGCCAGAGATGCACGCACGCAAAGTGTTCATTGCAAGAGTTATTGATCACATCTGTGCAATTTAGATATTTCAATCTTAACATTTAAATTTCACTCTAATCCAAGGTTACCATGGCAAAAATCAACTAAGTGAATTAAAGATAATCTGCAGCTGTTGTGAAAACGCTCTATAAATAAAGATGTATTGTATTGTATATAGTGCATTGACTTCCTTCGTTGTCTTCGCCCAGGCACTTACGGAGGCGAGGTGGACCGTACAAGACGGAGCCGGCTACAGACCTGAGCCGCTGGAGGCTTTCCAATGTCGAGGGCAGGCAGACCTGGTCATACATAGAGGATGGGGGCGCCCCAAAACGAGAACAGACCATGCTGGAGGCCCATTCTTTAGGCTTAGACACAGTAGGTGCCAGTGTGTCATATTTTGTCCTTCTCCTAAAATAATGCTTAAAAAAAAAGAACACTGTGGAGAACCCCCTGCAAAGTTGGTAGGCTTAGACACAGTAGGTGCCAGTGTGTCATATTGTGTCCTCCTAAAATAATGCTTAAAAAAAAGAACACTCTGGAGCACCCCCTGCAAAGTTGAGAGGCTTCTTTTTCAACAATAGACAGCCCTCTGGTTTTCATGTTGGTAACATCATGGCCAAAAACTCACCAATTTTTGCAAGCGTGTGCATGCCCCAATGTATTTTTTAAATTGAAGTCAACTACAAATGCTGAACAAAAAGGCAATAGTGTTAATAATAACACACGAATATTTGTATTAATTATTATTCAACCCCATTAAAAATGACTCTGTAGCGCCCCCGCCTGGAAAGTTGGGAAAATAAATTGACTCCCGGTACCAGCTTCGCCTACATTTGGTAGATGTCGATCATAACGGAAAGCATAAAAAAGTCTCAAAGGATCATGCCCAAAATTGAACAGCAAGTCTCCCATTTTGCTCTGAACAAACAAGGAAAATGTACCAAAATGGACCCAATCAATCTGTCTGACAAACCTTAGGCGGGAATCAGACTTTCATTTTGTCCCCACAGACTAAATTTGTGCGTGATTCACCGGCCTCCCACACGGCCACGGATGCCGCCGTGAAAGGGATGAATTTCTACAGTCACCTCCAAGCTGAGGACGGCCACTGGGCAGGGGACTACGGAGGACCTCTCTTCCTGCTACCCGGTAAGATGACACGTCTGAAGACGAGGGACTAAAGCCACGTTTGGCCATTAAAACTAAACAAGGTTTCGAAACGTGGTGGCAGGCCTACTGATTACTTGCCACATCGCTAAGATCCATCTGGAGCAGGCCTGGAAGAAAGAGATGGTGCGATACCTGCGCTCTGTTCAGCTGCCCGATGGAGGCTGGGGCTTGTAAGGCACCTCTGCTTTTTGCGCTTTCCGCACAGCGATCGGCGTGTGAAGGAGAACTCATTTGTATGGAATGATTTGTCAACAGACACGTGGAAGACAAGTCGACGGTGTTCGGCACGGCTCTGAGTTACACCTCGCTAAGGATTCTGGGTGTCGATCCGGATGATCCCGACATGGTTCGAGCGAGGAATAACCTGCATGACAAAGGTTCTTTCTATGAAAGTCTTCATGCTACTCAACATTCCCGTTGATATCGTCGGTCAATTGATGCATCAAAATATACTTATGATTAGTCCCAAAATTTCAAGAGGGTCAATTTGACACCGTAACATAAAAGTAGGGTCAAGTGAATATTTTTCATATTGCTGTAATATAAGATGCGAGGTCCCCTTGGACGTCTGTTCGGATGATCCCGACATGGTTCGAGCGAGGAATAACCTACACGGCAAAGGTTCTTTCTATGAAAGTCTTCATGCTACTAAACATTCCCGTTGATATCGTCGGTCAATTGATGCATCAAAATATACTTATGATTAGTCCAAAAATTTCAAGAGGGTCAATTTGACCCCGTAACATAAAAGTAGGGTCAAGTGTATATTTTTCATATTGCTGTAATATAAGATGCGAGTTTCTGTGCCAGTAACAGAAGGGATGAACGGTCAACGTTTTCCGCAGGCGGCGCGGTGGGCATCCCGTCCTGGGGAAAATTCTGGTTGGCTATTTTAAACGTCTACAACTGGGAAGGAATGAACACGCTTCTACCAGAGATGTGGTAAGATCCAAATGCCCCACTCCAAAAAAATGAAATATTCCCCACTTTCATTTTGATTTTGATTATTATTAGCCCCCCACCCCCACCCCCTGCATTTCCGACACGTCTGGATAATGAAACAAATCAAAATGGGCCCAAACTGTGTGTCCTTTCCAACAAATCTGTTGATAGAACTACTGAGATGCACAAAAAGGGTTGGTTTTTGTTTTTTTTTTTTGTTTTTTTAATAATCTGCTTGGCCGAGTGATTAGAATATATCGATAGATTTTTTTGGGTGTTGAACAAAACGGTCTGGATAATGAAACAAATCAAAATGGGCCCAAACCGTGTGTCCTTTCCAACAAATCTGTTGATAGAACTAATGAGATGCACAAAAAGGGTTGGTTTTTGGTTTTGTTTTTTGTTTTTTACAATCTGCTTGGCTGAGTGATTAGAATATATCGATCGATTTTTTGGGTGTTGAACAAAACACCCTGAAAAAAATGAGATCATAGCACCCCATTGGAAAATTGGGACAATTGCTTGTGTTTTTCACCCATAGGCGACTCATTGCTTTTCATATTTGTTGCACCAAGGTCCATGTTTTTGCAAGCGGTATATCCTACTGAAACTGTATTTACGGGCTCCCCAACAACTCACTCAGTAGCATCCTCTGAAAAGTTTTGGGGAGAATTGGATGCACCAAAAGTTTTGAATTGTACAGAAAATAGCTTGTATCGTGTGAAAAACAACAATATTTTTTCCAGGTCCGCAACGCAACCCCGACAAGCTTTTACTGGCATGTAATGCGTTTTCATGCCGTTTATGCTCCATTCGGCGACAGGTTGTTCCCCAGCTGTCTGCCGGCCCACCCGTCGACGCTGTGGTGCCACTGTCGCCAGGTGTACCTCCCCATGAGCTTCTGTTACGCCGTGCGCCTCGTCGCCGAGGAGGACGCCCTGGTCCTGGGCCTCAGACAGGTGCCGTGAGCTATTTTTGCCACAAGGAGGTGGTGTAACGTTACTCCTTCAAAACGTAGACCTGGTCCAACTCGGTCCAAGCCACCATCCTCAGATCCTTGACTTGTTTTGGTTACCTTTCTTGTGTGTGTTTGTTGTTTGCTGTGGAATAACAGTACCTTATTTCAGACCAAATACCAAATGAATGAATCGTCTTTTCAAAGGTGTCAATACGCCAGAAAACTCACGCTAAAGGGCCCCCTGCGAAAAAAAAAGATTTTCCACTCTTGCCGAAAACACACCAATTTTTGTTTAGCGTGTCTCAAACTATGGCACGGTGGGCGACTGGTGAGCGCGTCAACCTCACATGGCAGAGGTCGTGGGTACGATTCCCGCTCCGGTCTTCCTGTGGGGGGTTTGCCTGTTCACCGCTGTCCCTATGTGGCTTTTCTCCGGGCACTCCGGTTTCCTCCCACGTTCCAAAACATGCAGGGCAGGTTGAGTGGGCACTCCAAATTGTCCCGAGGTGTGTTTGTGAGCGCCAATGGTTGTTGGTGTGCCGCGATTGGCCGGCAACCAGTACACCCTATCATGTGGATTGATTGCAACTTTGCGTTTCCTTTTTTTCTCCCACCTAGGAGCTTTACGTCCAAGACTACGCCACCATCGACTGGCCAGCTCAGAGGAGCAATGTGGCCGCGTGTGACATGTACACTCCCCACAGCACGCTGCTTTCTGTATTCTATAGTAAGTTCACAGTGGGAAATGGAGTCCCAAGTGTTTTGTCAGCGGGAGTCCCCCCCACACCCCCCATGCTTGGTTTGTGACTCACCGCCGCGGCTCTTTGCCCCTCTTCGCAGCCGTGCTCAACGTGTACGAGGCCCACCACAGTGCCACGCTGAGAGCAATGGCCGTCAAAGAACTGTACGAGCACATCCAGGCTGACGACCGCTTCACCAAATGCATCAGCATCGGGCCGGTAGTGGAGACATTCTGCTTGTGTTGGTCTCACAGAAAAAAAAAGATTTCTTTAATGCAAGAATTTTAAGTTTCACAGAGAAAAAATAAACACAAATTGAGGAATTTGTGACTAGGTAGGCCAAAGCAAAGTGGCATAATGGTGACGCACGTCCTCTGCGTTGCAGATCTCCAAGACGATCAACATGCTAGTCCGCTGGTACATGGACGGACCCTTGTCGGAAGCCTTCCAGGAGCACGTGTCCAGGATCCCCGACTATCTCTGGTCAGTCTGCGAGACGCAAGTCTGTTTTCTATTGATCAGCCAAAATAAACTCAATCGCAGCTCCGGTGTAGGCGTCCTGGCTTCATGAAATGCTGCGTGCCACGTAAGAATGCAGCACGTTGTCTCATGCGTCATAAGAAGGTCATCACCATAATTGCTTGGGGGGGTTCCATTGGCTTGTTTTACATTTACGGCCCCAGAAGTGTTTTTCTTATAAATATTTCCTGTAATGATGGCTTAACTTCAGCATGAGCATACGTCAGTGATGGCGTGCAAATACGTTGCGACGAATCAGCAAATTGGGGTTCCGTTGCAGGCCAAACGGCGAAACAAAAGTCGTCCCCAAAACTATTGTGATTTATTGATGTTTTTGGAAATAATTGGATCCGACTAAATCGAGTCATTTCTGCATTTCAGGCTGGGACTCGATGGTATGAAAATGCAGGTGAGCCATTTTCCTCCGTGCCTACCCTGCAATACACTCACAGCTAGCGTCACTGAGAAGATGACGACTTAGCGGAGAGCCGGGACAAAAAAAAAAAAAAAAGCAGGAAACGTGTCCCATTGACTTGCTTGACTTGACTGCAATCCCGAGCAAAAAGTCCTTGTGTCCTTTTGTGCAGGGCACCAATGGGTCTCAGCTTTGGGATACTTGCTTTGCCGTTCAGGCTTTCCTTGAGGTAATTTTTCACAGAGGCTTTTTTTGTTGTTGTTGTTTTTGTTTTTGGTTTTTTTTTTGCCTGTCGTCATGAAGCCAAGGACAAGACTTGCTTGTCAGGAAGTTGGAGAACGGGTTTCCTCAGTGCCTGGCGGCGTCAAGCACCACTAATAAGAATTTTGGTATCTCGGTTTGTTTGTTTTTCCACAGACAGCAATGCGGTACATCTCCATGGTGCCTTTATCACGTTATTACCAACACGGGACTCTATTTTTATTGTCTCGTCATATTTGCACATTAGTCCACGGATGTCTTCATATTTGGATTTTCTTCTCATACGATTGCAGTCTCTTTTTTTTTTTTAATTATTTGTTGTTTTATATGTGGACTTCATTCTCAAGATTTGACAGCTCCTTTCTCATTTGTCATTTTAAAAAAAATATTGTCTCTCAAGAAATTATATATTTACCATGTCTCAATATTTTGACTTGGTTTTCATAAAATCACCTCACTGTTTTTGTAACACAGCCAAACCTCGGTTTTCAACCATAATCCGTTCCAGAAGGCTGGTCGAAAGCCGAAACCATGTTTCCCATTATAATCAATGTAAAAAATTTTAATCCGTTCCAAGTCTAGAAAACAACTTTTTTAAAAGCATTTTTAAACAATTTTACACCATAAACTGTATACACATGCTATAAGAGAGCAGGTAATATGTAAAATACTGTTGGTAAAATTGGTTGAATTTCTCGAATGGGGTCTTTCAGGCCGGAGCCCAAGACAACCCCGCGCTAGCCGAGTGTCTTGGACGCGCCCACCAGTTTCTGACAGTCACACAGGTGAGAACATTTGAATATGGGCAGCTCCGCCACTCTGAATTTTGGGTCGGGAAGGAAAGGATGTCAGCGAAAAATCCCTGTCAATGTGAAAATGGATTTTTGTTGTTGTTGTCTGTACCCTGTTGTGCCTCCGTGGAACTTGTTTCCCCCTCCACCAGATCCCAGATAATCCTCCCGATTACCAAAAGTACTACCGGCAAATGAACAAGGTACACGTCGTATCACCCGGCAATCCTTTTGACTTGAAAACGGAAGCGTTTTGTAATGCCAATGACTCTGGACAGGGGGGCTTCCCCTTCAGCACCCGCGACTGCGGCTGGATCGTCGCCGACTGCACCGCCGAGGGCCTGAAGTCGCTGATGCTGCTGCGTGAGCTGTGCCCCTCCGTCGGCGAGCCCGTCGCGCCGCAGCGCTTGTATGACGCCGTCAACGTGGTCGGTAGACGGCGTTCGGCTTCATGAATTCTCCCTCGCCCGCGTGTGCGCGCGCTTGTGTGTCTCGGTCAACGTGACGTGCTCCGCTTCCATCTTTTTTCCATAGTTGCTGAGCATGAGAAACTCAGACGGCGGGTTTGCCACGTATGAAACAAAGAGAGGGGGGAGACTTCTTGAGCTGCTCAACCCATCGGAGGTGTTTGGTGAGTCTTTTGCCACAGACGCTAATCCCGCCCCCAAGACCCGCCGTTCCGACAGATAAATTCGAACCCCAGAGTGCAGGGCAGACGTGTTTACGCGCACCTCACCGCGTTGCCCAATTATTTCTCAAGTGGTGGGAATACACGCAACCAAAAACAAGTTTCAGAAAACGAGAAGCCAAATATAAAGGTGCCGTTTGTCTTGCGACATTTTTGGCATCTGACTCACTCGTTTCAATGTGGCCACAAAAGGACAAGCGGCTCGTTTCGTCTTCAAAAGAAGATGTGGCGAGTCTTGTGAAAATAAAAAGATCTGCTTTTCACAAACAGGTGACATCATGATCGATTACACGTATGTGGAGTGTACGTCAGCAGTGATGCAGGCGCTCGCCCATTTCCACAAGAGCCATCCCGAACACCGCGCAGAGGAAATTAGGTACACCCAAACAAGTACTCTAATAACCTTCCCGCTGGCTAATTAAACGCGCCCGGGTCACATTGACCCAGGAACAAACACGTTGTATCCGAGCAACAAAACATAACAGGATGGGTGTAACTAACACAACCACAATGCGCCTCATAATGGGTCACTTCAATTTGTGTTTGCGACTGTGAGTTCCTAATGAGGTGGGATTTTGTTTGTTTTGTTTCGGACACTTTTGGATGATTCCGGTAAGATTTCAATCTCAATCAATATTTAGCACTTGGCCTATCGCAGTTCATAGCACAGGGAGGATGAAAGCCATGTTTTGAATCGCGTGTTGATAACACTTAGCACGCCGAGCACATTTCACACCAGAAAAGTACTTTTAAGATGTTAAATGTGGCAATTTGTCAACCTTCTTGAAAAGCAACCCAAAGGCAAGGTTGAACCAAGGTGCGAATGATGTGCGTCGCTGTATTTGTGCCCCAGGAACGCTCTAAGAGACGGGCTCGATTACTGCCGGAGGGTGCAGAGGCCCGACGGATCCTGGGAAGGGTGAGCTTAGCCTTTCTTTAGCGAGATTAGACTCTGTGCTCACATGTCTCGTACTCAGGTCCTGGGGAGTGTGTTTCACCTATGGGACGTGGTTTGGCCTAGAAGCCTTCGCTTGTATGGGACACGACTATCAGAGGTGCAAGGAAGTCGCGTGCAGTATGTGCAAGTCCAAAAAGTACGTCACAGACCGATATTGGTGCTCTCCTTTCACTAGCAACGCATGTGCGGAGGTGCGCAACGCCTGCCGCTTCCTGTTGGATCGGCAGATGCCCGACGGCGGCTGGGGGGAGGACTTTGAGTCGTGCGAGCAACGGCGCTACGTTCAGAGCAGCTCGCCGCAGATTCACAACACCTGCTGGGCTCTGTTAGGGCTCATGGCGGTCAGGTGAGGAAACACTGGATGGATTGCAGTACTTGGGGGACTTGAAAAACACACACACACACACACACACACACACACACACACACACACACACACAGAATTAGCTAGCTAGCTAGCGAGCTAGCTAGCTAAACCCGTGAATTAACAGAAACCCTCAAACCCTCCTATTATACTGCAGGTCAAATCGACCCATGAAAATCTTTTTTTTTTCTTCATGTTTTTAATGGATGCAAATAGATTTTGAAAAGGTACCTTTTTACCGGCTGAAATTGACCCATAACCCAGACGAACTGTCAGTTGGTGACCAAACATCCGCAGAGAGAAAACACCCGTTGACAGTTTTTATAATGAGGTTGGGAAGCATATATCCGGTCGATGACAACGGAACGATCCGTGCTTATGCTAACCTTTTAATGAGATGATGGCGATGTGTGTATCGGAAGGCACCCTGACCAGCAGGCCATCGAGAGAGGGGTCAAGCTGCTGATAGACAAACAGCTGCCCAATGGTGACTGGCCTCAGGTGAGCCTTTTTCCACCTCCCGTCTTCGCGCTGACCACTGAGATCCGCCATCTTTCCGTCGTGTTTGACCCAGTACGAAGAACATGATTGACTTTGCGTTGTCTCCCCCTGCTCAGGAGAATATTTCCGGCGTGTTCAACAAGAGCTGCGCCATTAGCTACACTTCCTATAGGAACGTCTTCCCCATTTGGACCCTGGGCCGCTTTGCTTCACTGCACCCCCGCAGTTCTCTAACCGGAAAGCTCAAGCTGTGAACACCCGGAGCATCGAAACAAACAAAAAAAAAAAAAATACGAGTTGGTCCATTTCAACCATGAATTCCAAGATGGCGTGAAAGTGTCCCTACGGGATAGTCCCCAGTAGCTTCATATTCATCCGTGCTGATTAAAGGGGCCCCAGCATGGAACATTAACTTTTTAATTGCTTGTTTACAAGTGGTAACGTGTGAAATTACACAATTGAATCAATCTTTCGCAAGACGCTCGTCTGTGAGTGAGCTGCTTGGAGTTTTGACGGATCGGGATATCACAGTTTTGTTCATGTCCGCCATATCCTCGCCACACTACTGTCTGCGCCACAGGCACGGATGCACGACGCTAATTGGCAGGTGGAAGGAAGTGCTGCACAAGGCTCGGAATCACTTTTTGTTTTTCTTCCCGGAGAGCCTTTGCTAATTGCGAATCAATTTGAGAGGCATCTTTGTCATTTTGAGGAGTGTTTTTTTTTTTTCCCCTGGACCATGTCGAGGTGTGGTTTCCAATCGTGTAATGCATTCTTCGGTCATGAGCCTTTATTCTTCAGGACAATTGTTTGTTTTACGATTGTCATTGACACACCTGAAGTTTCCCATGGAACCAACGCGAGGAGTGCCTCGCAATGTGCTGGCGACAGCAAGCAGATCTTTCACGAGGATAGCGAGCCAGCGCTCAAGAGGCTGGTTTATCCTGTTCTGACTTTTTCCAAGAAATGACACTTTCACTCTCCTGTTAGAGTCATTTGCGTTCATATTCATGGGTCATTTTGACCCGAGGCCCGTTGACCCAGAACCGTCGGAATGGAAAACAATCCCAATAAACGTTGTTTATATCTCATTGATATTTACGATACTGAGCATTTCACCACAGATCCGAGCGGAACTACTTTCAAGACGATTTTAACTTGAATTTTTCAGCGACTAAGTAAAAACATTCACTTCGACTTGCAATATAATGGATAGCTTTGGCAGTAGATATTTCTCAAAATTACCATGACATCGAGTAGCTATTCCTCTTTTACTAGTTTCTTGTCATACAGTGCACCTGGAAAGCACAGTATCCACCGATATGTAACGTGGGAAAAGTGAAGCAGCCGGACCTGCCTGCAGTCCAGACACGTTTTCAATGAAACACAGGTCTGGACTGCAGGCAGGCCAGTCTAGTAGCCGCACTCTCAGGGCAACTTGACTAAAAAAGACATATTTTATTTTATCGGAGTGAGTACTTTTCTTTCTGGGATGAAAATGTGAGAGAGAGAGAGAGAGCTCTGGCAGCTCCTGCAGCGGCAGCCAACTTGACATCTTCAATGTACATAACTTGTTTGGATGCAAACTATGAAACGGCCGGTGCCACTGTGAATGTTTGTGCTGATGGAATCGTTTGTCTGATTTCTTTTGTGTGCAAAAGAGTCGTGTCGCACCACATCCAATATTTGCATACAGTTGCAATCCAAAACGATCACATTACAGTATCCGAAGGTGTGTCCACATTTTTGGGACTGTGACAGAACGTCTGGTGTTGCCAACGCCTTATTCAGTTTACCCGCAGCAACAAATAAGCGAGTTGCCATAAAAGCACAGCCAGTCCAAAGGTGAGGAAGTGTGGATCAAAACGCCAGCAAAAGGTAAAAATTCAGCAGCTTATCTCACTCTTCAGGTCTAAACTTGACTTGACTAAACTTGAAAACATCAATTGTGTTTTGTTTTGTTGTTTTCATTTCAGGGTGTCGAGCTGAGATTTGGTTTCATCCAGGTATCTGTCTCATCAAGACTTACATCATTTTTCACACAATGCGTCCTCGCACCCCTTTTTTTTTTCCAAGGCAAATCCTGGCAATGATCAAACTTTGATCGCATTGGCAACACCCCCCACCCCCTCAAAAAAATATCTTGACAATTCACTCATCTGTCTTGCATATGTGCTTCTGATTTGGGCAGCTTCCTTAGTCAGAGTTTGTCAAAGCATACGATGCCTGGATTGAATTCTTGATTTTGAACGTTCGAGCGCAATATTCCAAGGGCAAAAGAATGCAATTCAACTCACCGAGGGGCCGTCTCTCTTTTTGTCCAACTCAAGGCAGAAAGTCATCCTGCAAAGATGCCCCTCAGATATCCTGTCTATCGACCCTACGTTTGTCAGCCGGCGTATCGCCCCGTCGTGGCTTGCGCTCCACGGGTGTACTGTCCTCCGGCTCCAGTTTATGGACCCTACGGAGGAAGGCCCGTCCTCGGGGGATTTCGGCCGGGCTACGGCTACAACTACAGCTACGGCTACGGGTATAGACCTGGTCCTTGCATCAGGCGTTGACTCAGTTTTGGTCAGCGGTTTTCGTCAGTTTGATGTATCATCCTTGAATGCAATAAATGACACGTGTGAATGAAAGCTGGTGTCTGCCTGTTGTCATTTCGTGTCCAAAGTCATGGTTGCAAAGCTGTCCTGTTTTCTGAGTTTTCAAAGAACAGCACTCGTGTTGCTATCGCAGACTTGTATACAATTGGCCCCTCGCTCCTGAAACCCCCGGGGGCAGCCATCTTACGTTTCCACCGTTACTGACAACTTCTGTTGGGTATCGGCTGAAAACACTGTAATGGGTGTTTTTTTTTTTGTTTTTTTTGCGCCAGTATTTGTCGATGGTGTAATTAGAGCCTCTCAAAGAAGGAACTTCACTGTGTGCATCCACCATTCAGAGTGTATGATCTCGGTATAGTGAAATGTGACTTACAGAGGTGAGCTTGACATGCTTTCCCGATGGCCTTTCATTACATTGTTCATGGTTCTGAAAACATGATGCAGACGAATCTTTGAGTAGATTCCGAGATACGTCTTGGCATAGAACATTTATCATCTCGATCTTATGGGTGCGAAGTGCATGCGGCGCTTCTCCCAGACTTGTTGGTGCAGCCGTGCGGTGCGCACTGTGGCATCTTTGCCCTAAGGCACATGTGTCGAACTCCGATCCTGGGGGGCCACTCTGAAAACATGATGCAGACGAATCTTTGAGTAGATTTCGAGATACGTCTTGGCATAGAACATTTATCATCACAATCTTATGGGTGCAAAGTGCATGCGACGCTTCTCCCAGACTTGTTGGTGCAGCTGTGCGGTGCGCACTGTGGCACAGGTGTCGAACTAAGGCACAGGTGTCGAACTCCGATCCTGGAGGGCCCCTGTCCTGCCTGTTTTCCAAGTCTCCCTGTTGCAACACACCTGATTCAAATGATCAGATCATCAGCAAGGTCTGCAGAAGCCTGACATTGAGCCTGTTGATTTGAATCAGGTGTGTTGCAACAGGGAGACTTGGAAAACATGCAGGACAGCTGCCGTCCAGGACCTGAGTTTAACACCCTTGCCCTAGGGAAAGAAAGTAACATGAAAAGGCCACGGGTGCTTCGCGAGTGGCCATGTAAGATGGCCACCGGGGGCACATGATCTGTAGGCCCTGATGGAGGCAGGTGCGGGCTTTTCCAAATCAAGACCATCCATCCATTATCTGAAGCGCTTTTTCCTCACGAGGGTCGCGGGCGTGCTGAAAGCCTATCCCGGCCGTCTTTGGATATTAGGCGGGGTACATCTTGACCCGGGTGCCGGCCAATCGCAGGGCGCACATAGAAAAACAAACAACTGCGCTCACAATCACACCCTGGAACAATTTCAAGCGTTCCATTGACCTGCAACGCCTGTTTTTGGAATGTGGGAAGAAAGCGCAGTACCTGGAGAAAAGCCACGGGGGCACGGGAAGAACATGCAAACGCCACACAGGACGGCTGGAGCCGGAATCGAACCCTGCAGCTCTGCACTTTTACCACAGGTGGACAAATAACTTTCCGGATGCGCTCTTCGTATACTGCCCAATATATTTGTACTCCAAACTGTACTCCTTCTCCTTTGTGTTATTGTTACAGTTGAACATTCTTCACACGCACTGTTGCAAACAGCGTTGGCGTCTCTTCAGGGCTTCATGCACATTGTCCGAATAGTTCCGATTCTGTGAGGACACCAAAATGCAGATTACAGATTAGAGTCCCTCCAACACCTACATTGAGCTCCTGTAGGCGTGCCACGAGTTAAATAGACTCTGCGTGGACCGGCGGCAAGTAGATTCCGCCCAAATTTTGCAGTGCACGGTAAGTGCCTGGATTTCTTTGACTTGAGACTGCATACGTGTTGTCTTTCACGCACTGACCGTTGCATTTTTCAAAATCATTTCAGGCAACAATGCATCACAACAAGCGCGGTGAGTAATCTGTCATCACTTCTTCTTGCACAGCCCTTTTCCTTCAACAGAATTTGTTTCCTTTATTTCCAGGAGGACGCTGCGGTGGTGGAGGTGGCAAGCCCAAAGGTGGTCACAAGCACGGATGCGGACACGGACCGGAATGTAAAAAATGTCAGCGGCGCCGGCGGAGGCACAAGTGTGGGCACAAGCATCGCAAGTGTCACAAGAAAGGAAAAGACTGCCACGGGGTGAGATTCACCGAGGACAAACTCACTTTACCTCTCTGGTTTTATTCGTTTATCAGGAGCAGCAGTGATGGCCCTGGGTCACTTTGACCCGGAATGTCTTTGATTATCCAAAAGTGCCAGAAAAGTTGATTTAGATTCCAATATTACAAGGCTGAAATGAGAATAGTCATGTCTTTTCCTTTTTTATTTTTAGTATACAATAAATAAGAAATAAGAAGGTTGATTTCAGAAAAACTTGTACAGTATTCAATATTCATGTTTTCATCATACAAAAATAGTCATATTCTTAATATATTTTTTAAATTACTCATTTTTAAGAAAGATGTATATTTTCTGAGTTTGAATTTATATTTCCATTTTATATATATATATATATATATATATGTATATACTTTTTTTAAAATCGGTTATCAAGATTGTAGTTAAAAATATTACTTTTTTAAATTGTGATATTCTGAGAGGAATCATTTATTTCCAGGAAAGTTGCATAAATTTGAAATTGAAGCTGTAATATGAGAATAAAGTCCAATATTCTCGTGAAAACGTCAAGTTGTAGAAGGAAAAAAAAGTTGAATACTTTTTAAAATAAAGTCAAAATCACTAAAAAGTTTTAGAAGTTCAAGAATATTTCCGTTTTTTTTTTTTTTGTTGTTGTTTTTTTTCATTAAAACATGTCCGAATCACAGGCTGATTTTCTGCAATAAATCTCACAAAGAAGCGCAGTTCCACTTTTTTTTAATGAAAAAAAAAAGCTAAAAATACATGACAGAAAACAAAGCAAAGTACAAATACAAAAATTGCACTTGTAAAATTTCCGCTGCCTTCTTCCGCTACGGACATCATCAATGCAGCTCAAATGGACCAATCTGACCCGCCACATAACAGAAGGGGTTAATTTCCACCACGCTTGTGCACTTAAGGAATAAAACTGTTTTGTCATTTCCGTCTGCCTAAAAAATTTTTTTGCTTGGGTTCCGGCCCGCCGCTGTTTGCAGTCGTCCAGCAGCTCCTGCAGCAGCACCAGCAGCAGCAGCAGCAGCGACTGCGACTAGAAGATGACGACAGCCAGACCCGGCGGGCCATCAAGCATCAAGCATCCGCTTTGCACAACTTCTTTGGATGGAGATGATTATACAGGTTGTGCAAGTGCGCATACTTTGTGAAGATGCAATAAAATAGATTATGAAATGAATCAGCAGAAGACTCTGTGTGTGTCTGTGTGTGTGTGTGCGTGCGTGTGTGTGTGTGTGTGAGTGTGTGTGTGTGTCCCCCGACATTTGTATGCAATAAATGAGATTTGGTCACACTTTCTCTGGATCAGGAGGCGTGTCCATATTTTGGAGACTGTTGCAGATTATCGGATGTCGACAACACGTTTTTTTTGTTTGGTTGTTTTTCTATAGAGTTTTTTTTTTTTTGTTTGTTTGATTTTTTGTTGTTTTTTTTTTTGTTTGTTTTAATAAATGACCGCATTATTCAAGGGCAGGGACACATTTCCCCGCAGGAGGGAATATCTGACTTCCCACAACAAGCACAGCCAGTCCCGAGGTGAGCAAGCGTCCATCAAAACACAGTCAGCAGCTCATGTCAATGTTATTTGATGTATTTCTAAAAAAATAATGAGAGAGAGGATTGTTTTGCGTGTTATTAATCTTGGGTTAGTTATTAAATTCAGTTAGTTTGTCAGTCAGGTTATATATATATATATATATATATATACACACATAGATAGATACATAGATAGATATAGATATATAGACATATATAGGTAGATATATATATAGATCTATAGATAGGAAATCCCCTAAAATGGGTAGTCATTTTGATATATATATATACATAGATAGATAGATAGATAGAGATATATAGACATATATAGGTATATATATATAGATCTATCGATAGGAAATCCCCTAAAATGGGTAGTCATTTAGTGCAACGCTATTAACGGTGAAGCAATCTGCCGTAACAACCGGCCCTCAATTTCTGGAGGTGTGGTTGGAGGCGGAATGTTTTTTTTTCTGACTTCTTATAAAAGCGTAGCCCGCAGTCAGCAGGTGAGCAAGCGAGGCTCTCAACTCCAGCGCACGGTAAATTCAGCATCTCCATCACCAGAATACAATTTTGCAAACACCTTTGTCAAGCTTGATAAATGGAAGCGCTCGTGTCAAATGTTGACGCCTGTGTCGTCGCGACGGAGCCTGTATGTAGTTTACATATTCGCTTTCTTTCATTCCAGGGTGTCGATCCGAGATTTTGACAAGCAGAAGACCATTCAGGGTAGGCCTCTTTATTTCTGTTTTTTCCACACTGTTTTTTTAAATGACTTCTTCGCATTGTTGTTTGGTTCCTCACAAGAGAACAGTAGCTTGTGTCACTCATTGAAACCTCCAAAACCTGTTTCGAAGAAGGGAATTTCCTCACATTTCCTGTTGCAATACTTCCTGGTTTGTAACACAGTTTGTGAGTGGCGATTTTTCTTAAGACGGAAATCGAACGAACCCTCCAACCCCAATTTTCATGTTGAATTCTCAAATCATCAGCATTTGTTGACATTCAGGGTGCCGGATTCCGATTGGGCCTCATTTGGAATAGTTGCTAACCATGAGTTTGAACAATGTGTCCATTTTTGGGCCTGGTGAAACCAGCGCGAATACCAGAGAGCTGCCTCTGGGCGAAAACCCGCCAAATTTCGCGACTGGCACAGCTTTCCGAAGGAAGAGGTGCACCGTTACGAGAATCTTTTCTTCCCCTTTAGGCTCATCTCAGTGACGATGCCGTACGGTCCATACAGGCCCTGCGTTCCTCCGCGGGTGTGCTATCCCGCAGCCCCGGCTTGCGGCCCCTACGGAGGGTACAGGCCGGGCTTTGGCTACGGCTATGGCTACGGCCACGGCTACGGGCATCACAATGGCTACGGGCACGGATACGGCTACCACGGATACGGGCACGGATACGGCCACCACAGATACGGCTACGGCCACAGAGGATGTTCGATACAATAGAATCTATGACCTTGAAATGTACATGTTGACATACGGAGCATGTATATTCTCAGCTCAACAACAGCAGCAATCGTTATAACAATCATTAGTTGCAATAAAATGGGAATCTGAAAAGAAAATAATGAATGGCGTCGCCGCATAAGCCAAATCAGCTCTGTTGTTCCATTTGTTTCTCAAGAACAGCAAAAATCCTATTGGGTCAGTTTGGCCCGGGTTGTGTGTGCATTTCCAAAAGTGTCCCAAATGGATCCGAATCCCAATATTGTTTGCATCTCATCTTCATCATGAGCAAATTTCCCAGGGCTACGTCCTCAGAGGCTAACCCAGCAGGAGAGTCAAATAGGCTGACGGGGGACCCAAATGGAGCGAGTTACGTAACATTGAAATTCAACACTTGAGAGAGCAAGTAGAGAACCACGGCGCCGCCTGGTGGAGACCAACCTTACTCACCGGATTTAGTCCTCTGCAAAATCAAAAGTGATGCAGATAATGTCCTGACCACCAAAGTCATCTGACCGCTGTCCAAAAATGCTTTGCATTGAACAAAGTCTCTCAGGCCAAAAGTCAAACCAGACTCAACGGCTACCTGGAGCAGGTATGCGGAGGGAAAGCGTCCTCGCGTCGCCCTTTGTTTTGACTTGGCTGAACTCGTAATGTGAAGCAACATTGATCCATCGCCATCTATTTCTCCAAACACACACTTGTTATCTTGAGTGATGATTCTAAATTGAGCGGGGGCGTGAAGGGGGAGTGGAAATGCTGGTTTGTCTGCTGCCATTTGCTTGCGCAGCCAAAGTCACCCATGACCTGCACAAGCTCAACTCCGATGGAAGACGCGTGGATAGGATGTTATCAGCCAACACGTGTGTGCTTTCTTTTTTTCTTCTTCTTTTTATGACATCTTTATCACAAGGGAAGTCTGAATAAGGACCTTTGTACTGTACCATGTGATTTTGAGGGGTGTGACATTTACTTGTCTTGTGTTGTGGAATTTCTGCAATGGAGAAAGAATGCCTTGGGGAAACACAAAAATGGACTCTGCTGTGGTTCACAACAACAAATTATGTTCGATGTCATGTGAGATATACTCAAGCTATATGCGCTATAGTAAAGCTTCATAAAGCGACAGGCATGTACTGGCAAAAACAACCGCACATCTGGCTATGTGGTCCTGCAGGTCAGATATATGTATCTGTATTGGCATAATTACCAGACGCCTTGTGCGTTTCGAAGCGGGAACACAGGACAGTAAAACAACCCTTAGTGAAGCTCCCGCATCTATCGGCATCACGACCACAGACAACTACGCACTGTATGTCACCCTGGGAATTTCGATGCTGGGACATGGGACAGATATGTGGACAGTTCAACAAGCCTTGTGAAAGCTACATATTGGTATAACAATCAGACATCTAGGTACTGCTGTATGTGAGTTTTGAAGAAACAACACAGGACAATTCAACTACCTCCAAGCTATGTCCTGGCATGACAGCCAACATGTGTGACACAAACAATTCTTTTGAAAGCTATGTATTGGCATAACAATCAGACACCTGGCTATGTGGCCTTGTGGGTCTTGAGGCTGGAACACAGGACAGTTAAACCAACCTTCTTAAAGTTACGCATACATCTTGGCATAACATCCAGACAATTCGGTACACATGAGACAGAAGTGGACGGTTAAACACTGCTTCTAAAAGCGACACATTGGAATAACAATCAGACACCTGGGGCCTCAAAGGGGGAATAAGACTAATATTAAAACATCCGGAAAGGAAAGTCAGTGCAATCAATAATGAATCTCATAAACAGTACCCATTTTTAAAAAAAACGATGTTTAATCACTCGCAAGGGTGTTTGGTCACATGGTCAGCTGTTAGAAGACACACATTTGGAAACACACACAGGTTGTAGTGGGAGTGTAGTAGAGGCGGGCAAGTCAAGGAGTGGCTTCTCATAAAAGGACCAACAAAAAAAGCAGGCGGCTGCATTTGCAACTTGAATCTCCAGCGTGCAGTAAGTTGCTCTCTTTTTGCTCATTTTGTGATTCTCTAACAGATTGTGCAGATACTGAACTTTCGTCATGTCTGTGTGTGTGTGTTTTTTCCCCATCCCGATCCCAGGGGCTTCACTTGTTGTTGAAAAATGTACGGAAACAACCAAGGTAAACCGCGAGGCCACTCCGAAAACTGAGCATGACTTTGGATGACCTCTTGTGAAAGTGCCATTTGTCATGAACGACTCTGATGCAATTTGACCCATGAGATCAACATCCATGTTCATTGTTTCTGTCTCATTATGAACGCCATTACTAAAAAGCATGTCAATTGATCTTATTAAACCTTCTTAGGTTGCAGCTCAAACTGGCCCAAAAATCGTATTTCAATCTTGAAATTATTTTGCTTCTCAGGAGGAGCAATAACTAACATTCCTAGGTCAATCCGACCCAGTCCTTGTTGTTTACATACACGAAATACGTGCTACTTGGAAGACCTTTGAAAAACTTCAAAGTGGTCAATTTGACTGGTATTACACTAACAGGGTCGATTTGATCCAAAGCATAATAGGCGAATTCGGTGTATATTTTTCCTATTGGTATAAAACGAGCCCATTTTGACCTGAGCGGGTCAAATGTGTTCGTATTCCAGTACTTCAAAATGGATCAATTTGACCCTCAGTCGACTTGACCGAAAACATAACAGGAATGCGTCAATGCATTTTATCACTTTGACAGGGGTCAATTTGACCTGCAGTGGATTTGTCCTAGCAGGACTATTCACTGTTTGGATTGAAGCCGCAACTTAACAGGAAAGATTCCTATCCAGTGTTTTTCAAGGCCTTTCAAATGGCTCCTAGTGAGTGACCTGCGTCATGAACAGGAAGATTCACTGAATCGACTCATCCCGCTTCTTTTCTTTCCTCTGTCTGAAAAGGAAACCAGTACCCCCAGGGTTACCCCAACCAGCCTGGGGGGTACCCGCAATATCCTCCCGGGGGATACCCTCAGTATCCGCCGGGCGGCTGCCCTCCTCAGCCCTGCTGCCCACCTGGCTGTGGACCGGGTCAGGGGCATGGACATAATCACGGCCACGGTCATGGACATGGACATGATCATGGACATGGACACGGACATGATCATGGACACGGACATGGCCATGGACATGATCATGGACATGGACATGGACATGGACATGGACATGGACATGGACATGGACATGGACATGGACATGGCCATGATCATGGACACGGACATGGACATGGACATGATCATGGACATGGACACGGACATGGACATGGTGGTCATTGTCATGGCAAGCACAAGCACAAGCATGGCCACAAGCATGGCAAGTGCCACAAAAAAGGAAAGGACTGTCACGGGGTAAGACGTGTTGCTCCACGTCAGCATTTAGGAAAACCAAATTGCCATTGTTCATTCATGTGTTGTCTATCTGTGTTCTTGTTTTCTTCTTTAGTCGTCCAGCAGCTCCTGCAGCAGCGACTCCGACTAGACCAAATCAGCCAAGATGGCGGCGGAAATGTGACGTCGCCACCAAACATTTGAAGAGGACAAGGATGCGCTTCACCATTTTATATTTGCTTCTTTTGCTACACCTAAAAAAAAAAAATGCCTACTGTATGTTGAACCATTAAAACAAAGTAAGATGTTTTTTTTTTTTTGCTTCTTAACATGTAATGAGAATTCCTTGCTTTGTTTGTTTGTTTGTTGTTTTTTTTTTTTAAGCAAATGCCTCCTGGAACAGATATGGACTTTGCAACAGTGCAGTGACTTGACTGACGAAAATAAAGAGAAACTCCTGGAAACTGACCTCACGCATTTGCTTTGGGAGAGTCTGAACTGTGTTTATTTGTCCAAGCCGCACCTTATCCCAGCAGCATTTGTCATCTTGGAATCTCACATCTAATCTTGTTTTGATAGTCTGAATAAATCCAAGATTACTGTCTTGACCCTCTGCCCTGGGATGGACCGCGCCTTGCCAGCACTTTGAGAAGCAACAGCTGGACCTCTTGCCCTCTTCTTTGCTAGACGAAAAATACATGTTTTTGTTTCTTTTTGAGTGGAAATAAATACATATGTACTACTAGGTGTCAGTTACATGAAAGCCAAACAGCTATCCTACCGGCTCAAGCCATGGCTTTAACATCAGTTTTTGTTTTAAAGTATTCTACCTCTGTGCCCACATTTCTGTGTACAAAGCAAGGAGGAATACATTTTCCAGCTTTCATCCGGGTGCCCATACGTCACGGATGAGATAGCCAATCAGGAATGGCGGCGACCTCTTTCAGGAAGTGAGCTTGGAGTCGGTGCAGCGTCCGAAAAAAAACACAAGCTAACAGGCTAACAGAATCAAAGTCATGTCTTTAACACTAGTGACGTCCAAACACAGGTATTTGCCTTTTGTTGTTGCCATAAGGTGTTTCTTTTGCTGCCATTTTGAAATTCTGGAAGCATGTTATTGGGCCCAGTCACACTGGGGTGATAGTTTCTCACGACTGTGGAAAAAAAAAAGAAAACATCACTTCCACGTCGATCGATCGGCGGAGCGTTGAAAAGTAACTTCTATGTGAGAACAGAGGCCAAGCCTCATGTTGTTGCTTCTTTCAGACTGAGGGCCATCTGCAGACTTCATCGAATCCAAGGACACATGGTGAGTGAACAACTGCTTTGGGGTCTTCAGGGGGCTTCTCAAAACCTACTCAACAAGCAGTCCTCGGTTTACGACAGAGGATGTTATCAGGTTACGAACGACGCGCAATGAACTCGGGTGCCAAAAAACGTCACAAGACGCAAGAAGGCGCGCTCAGTTTCCCGCCGTGCAATTTCCCAATGGATGGTTTTACACTTGGTTACAGATGTTTTTCATGCAAAGATTTCCTGCAATTGATGCTTTTATTGTGTCGTAGATTATTGATAGACTTCGCCGTATTCCGATGGACCGTATGTGCAAATTTCACATCGGTCGCTGCTGCGGGAACGAAAGTAGTTTCCGTTGTATGACAATAACAATATTCAGTGTTAAAAATTCATTTGACGTATCAAATGAAATAGTTTCCTCTTGGCTCCAGATGTCCAGTCGCGTGGAGCCCGAGGTTCTCCTGGAGAAGGTGTGCCGGACAGGTGTGATCACCCTGAACAGGCCCAAAGTGCTCAACGCCCTCAACTTGACCATGATCCAATCCATCTACCCTCAGCTCAAGGTACTGGCTGAAGCGCTCCTCATGAATGGTCAACCTCAATTTCACGGTGCGCCATTTCAAAATGTTGCCTTGTTAGAAATGGGAGAGTGACAGCGACACGGACCTTGTGATCATCAAAGGGGCAGGCGGGAAAGCCTTCTGCGCCGGCGGAGATGTCCGAGGTAAATTCCAGTGGTTGTTCTACTAGGCTGCGGTTTCCGATCAATCACTCGTAACGCAGTCAGTTGCCGTTTTGAACTATGCCGCGTGCGCAGAAAGCCGATGCAGATCTTTGACTGACGGACTTGTTCGCGTGCCCGAGGAATTTGGTTTCCTGAGGATGAATAGTGACTCTCTGTCGCATTTGTTGCTTCGTGTTTTCCTTTCAGCACTGACCGAAGCAGGGAAAGTTGGCGATCCCCTAACTAAGAACTTGTTCCGTGAGGAATACATTCTGAACTACGCCATTGGTGAGCTTTGAGAAATTTTTTTGGGGCAATAGTTCACGAAGTGATGTATTGATGTGAAATATCCCGCAGTCTCACATATTAGAAACCTTTTGCCTTCTCACACGTGGGATCTTTTCAGGAACATGCCGGAAACCGTTTATTGCCTTCATTGACGGAATAACAATGGGAGGGGTGAGTGGAAATGATTCCTTTTGACTAACACTCATGATGACCGTGACGTGTTTTGACTGCTTCTCAATGGGGTTGAGGTCAGGGGACGATCCAAACGGAAAGGAGAAACATGCGTTTGGAGCCAGTGTCGTTTCCCCCGTGCGCTGCAATATGTAATTCCGTCTGAGGGTGTCAGCAGAGGTCCATGTCTCTTACCTGCTGGGAGTGCATGGTGGCACCTGATTGGATGATGCTGCATTGTTGCCACCCTGCACGAGTCAGATATATCTTGAATTTAAATGATGACCTTACCCCCCCTGAGCCCCCACCAAAAATAACCAACGTGAATCATCAGAGAGCTTTGCTGCTGGGCTTCGACATATTTGTCTGTTGCCCTTATCCCTGTCTTATTTATTTATTTTTTAAAATTTCTTTCGGATGCCAGAAATGTTCGTGTGTCAGTGTGACCCGCTGCCTGTTTAGTCATGCAAAAATAAATGCATGAGTAACAAAAAGCAAAATAAAACACATGAATAGGCTTTGGTTCTTCTTTCAATGTAGTCAAGTTTCACGCATGACAAAAGAGACCAAGGTCAAAAACTTTTGCTACTCTACAACTAGTAAACTCAATTGAAAATACAAACCCCAAATAATCTTCTCAAAGGGGCGGTAGCGATAAACAAGTTGCGCACACCAGTCCTGGACGTACCCAAAATCATCTTGCGTCCCAAATGAGGGCAATCGCCACAGAAACTTCACAGCTGCGCGATCTGCAACCAGTCACTCGAACGGGATTTCGGTCTCCCATCGTCGTGACTTCATTTGTGACCGACTCGTTGGCAAATGACTTTTCTGGTTCTGCGCCCGCAGGGGGTCGGCCTGTCAGTTCACGGACGTTATCGAGTGGCCACCGAGAGGACGATGTTTGCCATGCCCGAGACGGCGATCGGTAAGCCGCAACGTGCCTGCGGGATGAGAGATGACTTATGGAGGAAAATGATGACATTAGTCGAGACCCCAGCCCAAAATGGTGCTTTCAGCCTCCAAGGCCCGAATTTACTTTGCTCATCAGCGGAATTCCCTCGAGGCAGATGGCCATCGCTCACACGATCTCATCGCTTATTTTCTTTCTTAAACCAAACTCACTTTTCCGGGCCTTTCTTTGTTTGTGAGCGTAACACACATCAAACTTGTCTTGGGGATGCTTTAGAAAAAGCTAAAAGGCATTTTGAACTTTTTCAGTTTCATCAACCCTTTAAAACAAGATGTCAAACTCAAGGCCCGGGGGCCAAATCCGGCCCGCCACATCATTTTATGTGGCGCACGAAAGCAAATCGTGTCGTTTTTTTTTTTAGCATGGTTTTTTTTCCCCTGAAATTTTGATTTTTCTTCACTGTTTCTTCCCAGTGATGGACTCTCCACCAGTGTATCGTGTGCCCAATTTAGCTCGCCGGTAACCAAAATGAGGAGAAGCGCAATGGAAAATGGATGTTAATAGCAACAATCTCGTCTTTGCTAATGTTTTGTTGCACTCTCGCTGACCTGTGAATATCCCGCCGACAATCTCAACAGATTTTCCTTCCTCAACCTTCCGCCACGCGCTTGATGATAATGCGTTTTCGCCCAGGAATGAGGTCAGCTGGTCTCTAATCCCGCTGCCACACAAGCACACACCGGTAAAGCTTCCGATCCTGTTTAGAAATGCTGAATTCCAATGAAAACATCGACCCAGTTCCATACGCAACACAGCCCAAATGAAATATTTCACAGTTCGTAGCGTGTGACACTCTCACGTCATCCTGTTTTTGAAGCCTTGCCGAAACGAGCCCGTTTTGAGGAGGCGTTGCAGTCTCCTGCAAACGAGCCACGACCGCGCTTTCCTCGTCTCGACCTCCGTGTGACCCGAACTCGTGTTTTTGACCGTCGCAGGCCTGTTCCCCGACGTGGGAGGCGGTTATTTCCTCCCGAGGCTTCAGGGCAAGTTGGGCCTGTTTCTGGCTCTGACGGGCTTCCGCCTCAAGGGCCGCGACGTGCACCGGGCTGGAATCGCCACTCACTTCGTCGAGTCCAAGAAGGTACGGTCGGGCCTGGCGTTGCGGCTGCTTCCGTTGCTTCGCTCTTGTCTATAACCTGGCCGCAAAACACAGGCTTTGTTTCGCATGATCCAAAGGCATTTCATTTGTTCCCTGTAATAGATGCCGGACCTGGAGAAGGAACTGGTGAATTTGAGGTCTCCCTCCGCTGAGAATATCTCCAGAGTGTTGGAGTCCTTCCAGAACGAGGTGAGGAGCCTGAAGTGAAGTAGTGGCCTTGCAGATTCGGTCAGGCGCAGACTGCTTTTGGGTGTTGATTCTGCATTTGCCGCTTCTCTCAGAGCAGCCTCGATAGTGACAAGCCTTTTGTCCTGGAGAAGCAGATGGCCGATATTGACAGGTAGGCAGCCGGAAGCGCCTGCTTCATATTACGCCAACCTCTCGGTGATGATATCGTCTGAATGCGTCGAAAATGTAAAACACGCACGCCACATCGGCGCCGTTGCGGTCCTCCCCGCAGGCTCTTCGACTCAGCCACGATGGAAGGCGTCATGCACAACCTGAAGGCTGATGGCTCCGAGTTTGCAAAGAAACAAGTGCAGGTACATCGCCCTGAGGAAGATGCGGTACAAAAAAGAAATAACATGCGCGTTTTTCGGGGTATGATGAAAAGTACAAAATGAGCGGGGTCAAGATACTGTAAAATCCCATGCACCCGTGTGTACTGCACCCCTGCCCCCCAAAAAAAAAGAGAGAAAGAAATACAAAAATATCACCCTATAAACATGAGAACATGCAAACCCCACACAGGGCGGCCGGGGCCGGAATCGAACCCTGCACCTTTGCACTGCGGGGCAAATGTGCTAACCAGTTGTTCACTGTGCTGCCCCACAAAATTTGTGTTATTTTAGTTTATGTAATTTTAAAAAAAATAATAAAAGATGTTCATGAAAGGTTTTTGGGCGGGCTGTGTGTGTT